GCTGGCAACGGCTGTAACCATTTCAAAGAGCTTTTTTTTGGTTCAATTTAATGAAATCTGCTTGGTTTTGGCAAGGAGCAGTCCCCAGTTTTGCAATAAACACTTCTGTCATAGCTCTGATCTCAGCTGGTACCAAACTACAGCTCTGCGCTTGGTCCCCTTGCTCAAGCAACAGCAGGGGCACATGGATCTGTGGAAGGAACAACCAACCCTTCTGCAGTGTGCTGGATAGTGGCAGTTTGTGCTATTTGATGTACATGGGCACGGGCCTGCACACTCATCTCCCAGCCTTCCCCACCTGGTCCTCATCTCACTGGTGGTAGGTCAGTGCATGAACCTTGGTTGGAGGCTGAACAGCAGCCTATTGTGCTGGAGCAGGAGGTGGTGAGAAAGTGCCCCATGTTCAGGTAGGTGCAAGCTGGAGACCATCTCAAACTAGGGCTGGCTGCCTAAAGGCCTCTTCAGCACTATGGGAAGCTGAGGAAGCACAAGGAAACTTGTGCACCCTCCTGGAGGAGTGAGTGCTCAGGGGCTCCTACAGAGCCTTCTCCATGTGGGACACATGCCTGGCTAAGAAGAATCCTTTGGGACTTGTGAGAGGCAGTGAAGGCACCTGGCACTTCTGACTTTGTGTCACAACCTTAGGGCAGGCGGGAAGCACAAGGGTGGCATTCAGAAGCTGTTGGAGCCCCAGCAGGGACTGCAGGTCTGCAGAGATGATGTTCTCAGACAGGCACGAGTGGCGCAGTCTCCTGTGGCCTTAGTAGGCTGTGAACTGCTTGGGACAAGGAGGCCTAGAGGCCTTCAGTGAGCTCCTGTCTCTGTCACGTCACCCCTGTGGCACACTGCTGTGGTGTCACTATGTGCCAAACAGAAGCAAGGCTTCACAAACGCTGCCTGCCTTTGCTGCCCCTCTCCAGGTCCGGCTCACAGGGGCACCTGCAGTGGCTGCCAGCGACGTAGCAGCGATGCTGAGTGGTAGTTTCTGCCTGCTGCGCTGCCGCCACGCACTGCTGGAGCTGCGAGAGCCTCATCCGTGTGGGCGGAGGATGATGCCAGAGAAGGTCGAGGCTGCAGGAGCTGGGGCCTTGGCACTGCCCAGAGGTGGGAGCCGAGGCTGAAAGGTGAGCGCTGGGCTCCTGGTTTTGGTGTCTTGTCCTCCCAGCAAACAGCGCAGGGCTGTTCCTTGACCTGCATTCCTGCCTCTTTCATCTAGACTAGTTCGAGGCAATGCAAAGAGCTTTTAAACACTTCCTAGGGCGTATGAGCAGTTGAACCGGTTGCAATCCACATGCTGCATTTTCCTTAACACGTTCCTTAACTTGTTCCTCTTGCCCTCCTCACTCTGAGGCCTCAGGTTCTGCTCTGCTGCTGTTATGGCCTGAAAGGGAGCCTTCCCTTCGCTTGCTTTCTCTTCTGAGCTCTACAGGAGGTTATTTCTAAGTGCCTGGGTGAGGCAGAGCACAGAGGAAGATGGTGACCTGAAATAAAAACAGTGCATTGCACTGCGGCTTGTCGGCGGGCTGCGTTAGCCCCAGCTCTGGCTGCCCTGCTTGCTTTCCGTAATGATGTTTTCCACAGTGTATCCTTGTTTGGAGTCCTTCCCATTTTTATTAGCTTGCAAATTACACGTTGGATTTCAAGCTCTCTTCTGCTTTTCCATTCCTCACATGCCCTTTCTGTCGCCCTTTTGATGGTAGCTGGTGCATATCAGGATAACCTGCTGCCAGATGCCCTCAGGCATCTGTTAACCTCTTCTCTGTCCATCTCTTCTAAGCCACTGGCTAAAATAGAGATCGGTAATAACAAGCACCTGGCCAGCCTCTGGTTTATTCCTGTTTATCATTTACCATTTGTTTGCTGTCCTGATTCAGTCTTCTGATGTAAGTTAATAGGTACTGACCTTTCAGGGAAGATTGCTGCATGTGATGCTAGCAAATGTCTAACCAAGCAGATGGGATCTCTCCTGCGGTTTGTGGGCTTGCTTCCTTCCAGAGCTGATGAACTTGCAGTCCGTGCACCACATCTTACAGCACCATAGAAGCATGTTCTTATCTCCTGCTGTGCCAGCGGGGCCCTGAGATAAGCTGATGTGCAGAGGTCCTGCAGCGATGGGAATCGTGCCTGAGCATCCCATGTCTCCAGCACAAAGCCCTGGGCTACTTGGCCTTGCTTGTCCAGTTTTGGTCCAACGCAAGGCCTTTGGTCTAATTCCCGGTGTGAGGTAACCCCTCTGTAATGCGTCCCAAGGGCGGCTGGTCACCAAGGCTGCTGTGGCAGCTGCAGCCAGCCTGACGCCCTCCTCTTGGGGGACGGCGCGTGTGAAGCCAGCGCTTGAGCAGCAGCTACTCCAGGCAAGAGCCAGGGGAATGTGCAGGGCTCCAACCAATGGCTCAGGCTGCCCCTCTCTGCCGCACTGTGAGGTTAAACCTGGAGCTGCCCAAGTCCCAAAGAGAGGATCCAGTCCCTGCTGGTAGAAAGTCCCTGCTGACGACTGGAGCAGGAGTGCCCTGAGCTTTGACTGGAGCAGGAGAGCCCTGAGCCTTCCCTGAGCACAGCAGGCCAGATAAGCGGTGCTTTCTAAGATAAGGGTTGTTCTTTAGTTCCTTTAGAGGTATAATGATCTCTTGCTGAGCTGGATGAATGACTTTTCCCTTTGATATCTGCAGCGATTAGGAGCTGACAGCAGAGCTCTGCTTAGTAGCCGTTTTCCATAGCAAAGGGCATGTGTCTCTTCACAGGCAGGTATCAAAAGAGGGGACTAGAGCTGGTTTTGAAGAGCAGGCTGCTGCTGAACTCCGTTTTACACGTTGCCATATGGCATCTTGCCCCTGGCAGGTCCCTTGCTGGCAGAACAAGAACAGCTTCCAAACATGTGCAAATGAACAGAGGGCAGGGTGGAATCATCCCCAGCTTCCATGGGGGAAGGAAAAGGAAGTCCTGCTGTAGACCTGTGGAGTGGGTAGCAGCAAATTTTCTTTCCTGCCTCTCCTGACTCTGGTTGGTCCTGACAAGTTATATCTCAAGGTGATCCTCTGCGTTATCCAGGAAGACAAACCAGGTGGAAATATTCCTCCTTCTCCTTTGAAAAAGACCAGCTCAAAGGCTAAGACTGTCTTCTAAATGCTGCTAGGCTTGGTGTGGCTGTGAGTGCCTTGTTTGGCCGAGAGCTCCCCGCTGCGCAGGGCAGACCCTCTCCTCCTCCTCCTCCTCCTCAGCAGCCAGGAGCAGCGCAGAGCTGCCCCTGCCCCAAGCAGGGGCCTGTGCCCTCCCCTGGCACAGAGGCCAGAGCTGGGGGGGTGACCCCTTCTCGCAGCCAGGGCAGCCCCACAGCTTCTCTGTCTCTGTGCAGCACTGCTGACTGGTGCCAACACAGCTGAAAAGGAGAGGTTTAGCCCCACAACAAAACCAGCCAGCATTATACGGGTAAGCAGTAAACAGACTTTCTATCAGTAATGTAAACCCTTACGTCTCCAGGCGTGGCTAAGCCCCTACAGAGAGCTTAGGCGACTGCCCTGGTTAAAGCACTTTATCCCATAGTACCTGCAGGGTAGAGGGAAGGGTGGTTGTTGCTATGAGATTAAAGTGAGGTGATTAGATAGACCGTGACTTGGGATGCGCTTGGGCAATTCCTGAGTGTCTGCAAAGTGAATTACTTAGCAGCAAAGTGACTAAGCTGGATCTTTGCAACTGGTCTCAGGCCCAGCATATATAACCTCACTTGGAAATGAGGAATTAATAGAATCAATTCTGACAGGATATTATTTTTCTGTGTCTTGGTCTAAGCTGTTTTTAGTTCTCATGTATTTTAGGTACTCATTTGGCTCCAATCGCTTGGATTGAACTGAATTCTACTGCAATCATTTTACTATTTGCAAATGTTTTGGTTGCTCCATAGATAGCAATCTGTGAAAACAACTGCCATGTGTGTTTCTCATGTCAAGAAGCCAAATTCTATTTTCATTCTATTCTTTATTCAATCTGGAGAAATTCAGTGACTTGAGCATACAGCAATTTTGTAGCCAGGCGAGGAGTTTGGTTTGAGGAATCAAGACAGGAACCTCCAATGTACTATATTTGCAAAGCTTGCACAGGTTTTGCAGAGTTGGCAGCATAAGCGAGAAGGTCTTAGGGGTAGTTCTGATCATTGTAATCAAAAGTAGTTTTGAAGGGGCTTTCATTTAGCCTTTTTTTTCCCCTCACGCTATCAAGGTAGAAACACATTTCCAGGAGTATCAGTTGCACTCACTACTGTCTAAATAACCTGAGTTATGGCTTTTAATTCCATTTGCCACATGGCAAAGGGAGACAGAAGAGTTGGGATTTGAAGGCTGAAGTAGCACAACCTCTAACCCCTTCAGATGCTCATGTATGTTTTCCTCCATCAAAGGGACTGCAGAGAGATGGAGTCTGGTCTTCCTCCTTCACTGTGGAGGCAAGACAGGGAGCAGGGGCTGGGCGCCACCCACTCCCCCCTGGAGCACAAGGGCTGCAAGCAGAGCTTGCTTTTGATCACATCTGCCTTCAAGCATGTGCCTGGCCTCACTGCCTGGTGCAGCTCAACTATTTAAAATCAAGCATGGCCTCAGCCTTTGAGCATCTGGGCAGATAAGGACCAGCCCTCTGCCTGCATTCCCATGCAGCACGGGGCTGTTTTCCTTTCCCTCCCCCCATTCCCACAAAGCTGGCTCTCTGCCTCTTGCAGCGTGGCATACATACGCAGAGGGTCTCTGTGCTCTACAGGGGCATAGGGGGACAGCTGGAAGTCTTTAAGCAACAAACATTCTCTTGAGGCTTACTTCATGCTTCAGAGAGATGTTTGTTCCATCTTGTTTCAAGGCAATGTTACTCCAGATCAGAATAAGGGTCTTCTTCCTAGATTCCACAGTAGTAAAGAGAATCACTTAAACTACATACCTGGTTTGTAAATCTTTTTATTAAAAGAGTTGGGTTTTTTTTTTCTTTTTCAACAGTAGTAAAGCTTTGGCACTTACAGTATAAAAATAACCACTGATCATAATTACACCAAATTCCTCTTTGTCAACTGCATACTAAGAGTCTTCAATACATTTTATTCCCATATAAAAACACTTGAAGGTCAGGGGAACAAAATTGATAAATAACAGTATGAGATACAAAGATACAGCTAGAAAAATACTAGGATCATTAAGAAAGAATTAGGACTGTGCATATTTTAAATATCACAGTGATGGGTTTTGCTGTTCCTATCTTATTGCTTGCTGCACGCTTATGTGAAAGCAGAAGTGTTTGGTGGACTTTCCTATGTTTAAAATTCAGTAATGTCATTCTTATATTTGTTTGTAGGCCATGGGAACCTTTAATTTTTACACCCCTCCTTCCCGCTTAATATTTTGATCTCCCACCAATTTGTGATTTAGTATCTCCCCATATTTTTTTTCCCCCTTTAGATTTGAAAATACTGACTGGTATTGAACACTTCGAGCAAAAACAAGGCAATACACTGCTATCAATCATGAGAAAAGTCTGAAACACTCCAAGAGTGGCGCTTGGAGAAGCTGTGAGTTGAGCTTAAGCTGGGAAAATGGCTCCAAAGCCAAGGGCCATTTTGAAAGATGCACTTTGCTAGCATCACTCCAGTTTGGATGGTAAATCGTGGCAGATAGGTATCTATGCTTTGGTTTATCTGTTGCCATTGCTGCAAGAAGTCTTGCTGGTTGTTACTTTCCCCGTGGATGTTGTGTGTCTGCCTGTACATCTAGGGGCATGAAACACTCAATGGGGCAGTTGACGTTCTGTCGGGAGGGAAGGAAATCGGTTAGTGCTCTGTCCTGGCAGGGCAGACACTCCTGCGTGGTGATTTTCACTGAGAATTGGTGCCAGCCTGTGCAGCTGTTTAGTTTTTCCATCCAAGCATGCAGCTGGTTTACAGCAACAAGTGAGGACTAGGAGATAACTACACGCACTACTCCCCCCTCAGCATGCAGGCACATCCCAACTTCAAGTCTGCAACAGCCTCAAAGGTCCCACCCGTGAGAAGAGCAGTGAACACCATGCTTAGAAGTGAGAGCTCGAGCTGCAGCACATCAAGTGCTTCTGAACCAGTGAAAAGCTGCATCCTGCTGTGATCCCTTGAGCCTTATACCCATCCTGTGTGTTTGTGCCAGGGTAAGGGAGGGCAGAGGGGCAGTATACTCACTGTGTTTGTAGCCTGGTGGTATCTCTGTGTAAACTGTGTGTAGGTATGGCCAGCAGAGCCTTCAGGGGCCACCTCCACGCTGGGTCTGCGGCAGTTGTCACAACGCCAGCCCTGGGGAGACAGAAAGCAGATGCATCAGTCAGACTGCGCTGCTGACGACCGCCCAGGAGTTGCTGCCACTGTTTGTACACATGGGTACAAGACCCATGAGGTTGCTCCCATGTGGTACCAGACACACATACCCCCAAGGTCCATGTCCCTCTAATTGCTTCTGCTCCTGTACTAATTACTTTGCCTACTATAACGGCCTATTCTGGCCAGTCGAGACCATACGATCTGAAACCCAACAGTCTTAAGACACCCCTCAGACACAGCCCCCTCTGCCCATTCCAGCCCACCTAGCCCCTCCTGCTTACCTGCTGTCCTCCGTAACAAGTACAGGAGCAGATGGCCCCAAAGTATTCCTTCTGCCACTGCTCTCCCACTTGGTACATCTTCCCATCATCATAGCACGTGGTCTCATCTGTGGAGAAGCAGGCATAGCTCAGCTGCACAGTCTGTGCTTGGCTTTAAGCAGTAGTGGCACAAGGTGGGGATCAGAACAGCTGCCTCGGCCCCAGCTTTAGCCTTTTGGCCAGAAGTTCATTGACTGGCAGAGGGAACACTGGTCATTTTTATAGCTCTCTAGACTCTTTGAAGTAGGAGCTGAGGATATTTGCGGGATGAGAGCAATGCAGTTTCATTTATATTACCAAGGCTAGAGGATGCTCAAGTGACAGGCGCTGCAAGTGTTATTCATTAGGGTGACCTACCCCACCTACTATGCCAACATGTCCCTTTCTTGTGGCTCCAGGGCCAAACAGTGGGTGCAGAGAGTGTAACCTTAACGAACAAATTAGGATTTTCTTTTTTTTTAAGCTAGAGAATATGAGTTTTATGCCTCCAGTTCTCAGAAGAACTGCTTCAATCTGTCACTCTACAAACATGCATCAGACATGTTGATTCTCTGCTCACTGTAGCAGCAGGACCCAAATTTAATCAGAACAGTCAGGAAAAGGTGACACTTCCTGCCTGGGAGCTCAATTAAATTAACATCAGAAAGTGACTTACGAGGTTCACACTTGAATTCTCCCTTTCCATTTCCCAGGCAGGTGCAGCTCATCATCTGGCCATTCTCTCCCTGTCGGTCCCACTTCTCTCCAATCTTGTAGTTCACACCATTATCATGGCACCACTCTGGAGAAGGCAGAAAAACAAGACAGGAATTATTGCACACACTGCAGTGACTAGCAGGAGGAAAACTGCTGTTTGAGGAATCGAAAACAGGGTGGGCAAAAGAATCTTTTGAGTTTGTGTAAATCCCAGGGAAGAAATCCTGCTGGGAGTAGTTTCAGCTCCTGGAACATTTAACTGTTGAGTACTGGGGAATGGGAAGAGACTGTTAGGGAAGAACTAAGTGGAATGTGACAAAAACTGAGTTGGGGAAAAAGGCTCACTAACCAGAGGGAAAATTAAAGGAATTTAATAGACCTAGGGCAGCAAGGGAAAAGTTAAATGCTCCTTTTTTTTTTTTTTTTTTTAAATGATTAAGAACCCAGTAAAGTTATATCACACAGGATGCATAACACAATGGTAAATCATGTGTACTGAATAATGAAATAAAATCAGCCCTGTAGAAAAAGTATTTCCCTGCAGTCACTCCTCTGAGCATATGTGAAGCTCAAAAATGTCCTCTTTATGTTACTCTGTATCTTAAAAGCACAATTTAAATTAATTGTATGTGATGCATTAACCACTCAATTGCTGACTTTTATTTATCCTCTTATATGGAAGATGTTTTCTTATATGAACCACAGTCCTAAAATTTAGCACAAAAATTCAATGCCGTTGCAATGGAGTTGCCTCCTTGACAGAGCTTCAAAGAAATACTGACAAAAAGAGAAAACAGGCTCTGCAAGATGCTTTGCAAAGGCTCTCTGCAACGCAAAACAGACTCTGGTCTTGCTCTTATATTCACTGAAATGCACACAGGTCTCTCTCGCCCACTTACAATGACGTATATAATGAGGAGATGAAGATTCAACCATAATTCAATAGTCATAGCTGTCTTGTTAAATAACTACTCAGATTCTTTCTTTTAGGCATCTAGTTTGTCTCACTTTTACACATTAGCTAGACTTACCTGGCACAGATAGGGAAAATAAGAGAAATATTTAGCTTTGGTGAAGAAGTCATTACATATCAATACAATATTGATTGTTACTGATGCAATGAATTTGCTAGTACTAGATAAGCTGCATAGCTCAGAAGTGACCAAATTTTTTCATCACTGTCAGTGATGGAAAAATACCAGTCTGGTTCAAAAAACTAAGAGCCTGCATTCATTTGCTTCATGTTTGGATCAGATTGGCTCTGTCAAACATGCTATTAGAGCTCAGGGAGATGGATGGTTGAAAGCAAGCTACTCACTAGAAGAATCACATCTGAAATGGCCACTGCCAAAGCCTAGACACTGGCACCAGAGCTTGAAGCCAGTTTCAGATAATCGCTCCCATTCCTCGCCAATGGAATAGAAGGAGCCAGTGAAAGTATCGTAGCAGGTGTCATCGGTCGGCTGGTTCAGTCCTTCAGACACTGAAATGAACGAAAAGAGAAGAAAGGGGTATTAAACACATAACTACTTTTTCTATGTGTTTTTTTTTTTTCCTTTACAGTATCCTGGTAGTAATGGAGCTCCCCCATGGGCACATACTTGACGGCTCTGTCAGCAGCTCAGACTCCCTGCGATTTCTTTTCCATTTGCATGTGTCAGAGCAGCTGAATGACAAAACCTGATATGAAGGCTATTTTCACTTCGATTTGCTGAGCTCCAAGCAAGTGTGAGTTCTTGGCTTTGCTGCTGAAGAGCAGCAATCTTAGTCTGTTTTTAAGAGAAGTATCCTGTGAAGTGCTGGGGAATGATGTGAAGTTGGTAGATGCAGATGCACTTCTAGGGGCAAGTAACGGACAAGACGGAGCAGTGGAACTGGCTGCCTGTGTCTTGGCACCAGCACGACGAGGTACTGTGACAGCAGGCGCCCACTGCTTGACAGGAATCTGACACCAACATAATCCAGTACTGAAACGCAGCAAATACCTCATCTTGTACTATCTCTTGGACACCGTCTGGAGAGGAATATGTGGAGCCTCAAAGCACTGCCTTGGTGATTAGGCAAGAGAAGATGAGGTAAGAGCACTAGTGTCACCACCAGGGTGCCACAGTTTTCTGAAAGCAGTGGCCCTCACAGACCATTTCGCCCATCTTCTACCTTCCATGTGTTTTCTGTGTCTGACAAAGCCTCCTTTCTGAACTTTCCTTAAACTTGGGAAGCAGGTTGCTTTGGATAAAGGAAATGATACAGAGACAGTAAAAGTTCATGCTGATGCCACAAAGCTTTTACCTACCAGTATTGCCAACTGTGACCACCTCCTCCAGCACCTTCTGTTTCCGGTGATCTTTCAAAGCTTCCACTATGATGTTGTAGGTGGCCCCCCTGGTAAGGCCAGTGAGTGTGGCACTGGAGGAAGTGCCAGGAACCCTGAACTGCAATGACAGGCAATGCCAAGTTACCAAGGAGGAAGAAGTGATTACTTTTTAGCTTGCAGAAGGATCTCAGGAAAGGCTGGCTGTTCAGGGTGGCTTCTGTGGGGTACATAGTGCCAGCCCATTCCCTCCTCACGTCTACATGTTCAAACAAGAGTGCTAAACTTGAGTACCCTAAAGAGGGTTTCAAAAGCAGTGCTATCCTCATTTTAAGAACACAGAAAGCAAAGCAGAAGGGCATCTCTGGTTTAGAGGAGCAAGACTTTAGTACGTGAAATCCCCAAAGTGAACTCCCAGTGGTCTTTACTGCCCTTTCCATGGTGAAAGGCTGACACGGTCAGTGTTTCTGGGGCTTTGTCTTTTACAGGTTTTATCCATTAGCCTCTTCCACGAGAGGAGCATTTAACTTTTCTGCCCTTCCAGCTACACATTAATAGGACTTTAAGACAACTCCAGCTGCCATCTCCTTAACATAAAGGGCTGGAATCTCAAGAGAAAGCAGCTACTGTGGCAAGTCAAACACTAAAGGTGCTGAGAAAAGACAGTTCAGTTAGTTACCTGTAAAGTATCTTCCTCCTGGCTGACTGGCTGACACGAGATGATATATTCAGTGCTCTCCAGCAACGGCCTCCAAGAGATGGTTGTCTGAGAGAGGGCTTCTTGACCTGTGGTATCATTGCGCCTGGGCCCTCGAGAGTGAGGGTACGAAGGTTCGACGATGATTGGCACTTGGTAACCAGGGATTTCAATTTTTTCATCTACATTAGGTGGTTGCCGTCCCGACCCAGGCCTAAGGGGAGACGCTGTAGTGGGTACAGGCCGCCTGTAGCCGTGCTCCTCAAAGAAGACTTGCTGACCCTGGTGTCCTATTGTCTGGGGGTGCCCAGACGTGCCTGGAAGTTGGATACCGTTGCCATTGTCATACCTATTGTTAGTGAGGTAGGGGGTCCTCTCGTCAATGGAAGGTACGTCAAGAATGTCGGGTTGATTGGGGTGTGGTCTGGTAATCAACGTGGGAAGATCATCTAGCCAAAGAAAGGTTAGAAGCCGTAAAGCAAAGCATGGTAAACAGCTGCCGTGGAGGCTCTGCACCCCTCCAAGCATCAGAGATGAGCATCTTTCCAGGATGCAACACACTTTTTATGATCCTGTAGTGACTGTTGTGCAGCTAATGATTTCTAGCTATACATACATTTATATATGTTATATAAATATATATATTTCATATGAAGGCATAAGAAGTGTGTTGGTATGAAATTTTCACACAGTTGAGCATACTGTAACCCAAAGATGCCACTGATGCTCAAACTAGAAGGCATAAAATTGCAAGAGATATTCACAGATTATCCATTATCCAGAAAAATCCCTGGTACACAGCTATAGACTGGCTCCTAGATCACATCTGCATCTCCAGCTCTTATTTTGCTTGTCAAGGGTATCTCTGTCTCATACTGCAGAAGGGGGCTGAAGAGAGGCAATAAATATTTAATGGACAATAAATTAAAGGATCTCACTTTTGATACCATCATGAGCTAGAAGAAAATATGAACATTTATCTTAATTATAAATTAGATACCCAGGCAAGTAAACACCAAGCATACTGTTCCGTTCCAAGTACCTACATGCAGTCAAACATGATTCTAATAATTTAGAAAACTTGCCTCCTTCAATCAAGAAAATTCTCTTTATAAATACTATTTGACCGATGAGAAAAATTTCATGATTTAGGTGGCTTGAACAGGACATTTTAGATAATACTATTTCAGTCCTGTGACTGTCTTCTCCAAGGGGAAGACACCATCCTCTTTTACAGGCACACAACAAACCAGAGCTTTATTTTACCTGTCCTTTTTCTGCCAATCAACGGTTCACTCTTTTGATTGTTCTTCACAGCAATAACATAGATGATGTATTCGGTTCCTGGTTCCAAACCTAGGGAAGGAAGACATAAAACAACCTTGTATTTGAACACGTGTAGGGCAGGGACTTGTACAATAAAACGGGATGAAAGTGAGCTAGTCCCTTCTCTGCAGTGGCACGATCCTTTGCTACACCTGCTCAGCTACATACTTGGCCTATCTGCACTAGGTAAGAGTCTTGGGGGGTATTCACAGAAGGAAGCTGTTTGGTTCCATCCTATTTGCTTGTTCCCATTTAGGAGGAGAAACACAAGCTCTGCAAGGTCTTCTCCTTCAAGTACTAAGATCCAAACTGCATGCAGCTCTATCTACCTCTCATTTGACCTTCCATCCCACATATGATGGTCAAAGAAAAGCAACTCCCAAGCATAAGAGATCTTTGCCAAGCTCCGGTGAACATCTCCCAAACAAAGCACAGACACGTACCAGTGATTGTGGCCTCTGTGGTGCCTGGCCGAGGACGAGGCATAAGCTCCTTGGATGGTGAGCCAGGTTTCTCATACCTGATGATATAGCCTGTGATCTTGGCCCGAGGAGGCTGCCAAGTAGCCAGGAGGGAGTTGCTTGTGGTTGTGAGGAAGTTCAGGTTAGAAGGAGCATCAATAGCTAGGGGAAAACAAAAGCAAAGAGGTCAAATGCGGTAACAGCATCCTTCACCCTGACTGCATCTTCTAGAAACAAGGTCACCCTTTTCAAACTCAGAAGATTCTGCTCTGTCACATCAGGTAACACATGATCAGAGGCAAGGATATCAACATACTGTTGTTGACTACATCCAATTACTGTGCATTAAAATAAGCAGGAAAGACAGAAAATATCATTACCAGTGGAGGCATCAATCACTACTGGGGAACTGCGTGCATTCTCGTTCAGAGTGTAAAGGTAGATCTTGTAGTCATTGCCAGGTTGCAAGCCTGAAATCAGAACGTAAATGTTAGCTTTTCCTTGCAAAAAAATACATGGCAATGTACTAGCAGCTACTATGGTTGTCACTGCTGAAGGGTTTTCTTTTTGGATGTTTTGTAAAATTAGTCCAAGGAAGCCACTCAGAAAGGGCAGAATGCCTTTCATCAACTTCTTCTTGAAGAGCAAACTTACGACTCAAATGTTTCCCACCTTTTAGTGCTGTAGTTCTTTCATAAAAGAAATTTTACAGAGCAAGAACCCAGTGTATCTTCTGATATCAGTTCAGAAACAGCTGCCTGCTTAAACACCTCACTTACCAGTGATAGTGTAAGTCCTAACATCAGGACTGATGGTCCTTTGAATGGGTGTCTGACCACCTGCAGGAATGGCATCAACTTGAAAGCCAGTGATGGTCTCAGTCTTGGTTCTCCAGGTAATGGTGATGGTTGTCTCAGTGGCATCTGTCACACGGGCCCTGCGAGGGGGACTCACATCTGCACAAGAAGAGGCCTCTTGTCAGTACCCTGGGCATAGGGAATCTCTCAACAATTTTGTTTGTAAAGGTCATTATCAGAGTTATGTAGAGAGCCCCCCTCTTGGTACAACACATTTGATCTCTACCTCTGGGCCTGACACCCAGCACAGAACCAACTGGTCATTCACAGAGTGTCACTGCTTACTTTCAAGAGTGGTGACCACTCCCTGGGCTGGTCGGCTGGTCAGAGAGTCCTTCAGGGCATAGACACTCACTTCATACTTGGTTGCCACCTAGAATCGAGAAAGATACACTATGTTATGAAAAGAACCTGACCCAGTAGGAAACATTCCTACTCTTGTTCACTGTTTGGTGGAACCACCACCCCTCAGTCACCAGTTACTTGTGAAACCTTGAGACAATCCGATTAATGCCATAATTATTCCCACTTCTAGTAAGCAAAAGATTATGGACCCTGATGAACCGTGCTGTTTAGAATATTAGTATTGCACGTGTGTGCACACCGGACCAGAGCAAACCCTGGAAGAAAGCTGTCACCCCAAAATTTTGAGATCCTTGTGCTTCAAAGCTAATTATTCAGGAAAAGCTGACTTAAATCCTGGTCTTCCTGCTATGATAAAGTGTTCTTGCTTCAAGAAAAGAGAATGGTGGAAATCACAGTAAGGTCTTTAGTCCTTAACTGCCTCAAACCAGGAGCCCGCTTAGAGTGCATTTGAAAGCTTGTATTTGAAAATGATTCACAAAACTTAAAAACTGATCAGTAGCTTTAAGACAGCCGGAACAATAAAAGCACTGATTTTCAGCTTTTTCCAGTATAGGGACTTCTGAAGCGTTTCCAGCAGAGAAGACAACTATATAACATATCTAATCCTACTGACAAATAAGTGATTTCAACTTACATTTTCTAAATGCCTTAGAAATATAATGCCTGAGCAATAGACTGACAGAGCTTCCCATATAAGAGCTTGAAAGCCACCCCATTAGGACATTTTATCTGACCTCTTATGAAAGAGAGGCTAAAGTGTTTTACTGCATTCCTGGTGATTTTAAAGCTGACGATCAGCATTTGATTAAGGCACCAGCCTCCCCTAAACGAGGAAGTGGAAGAATGCAGATTGAGCAGGCTAATTCCTTGTCTTGTAACAGCTGCGATAACACTCAGTTAGGGCTGACAACTAGTCTGACTTCAACCAGGCCCTAAGGAGCTGTAATGATCTACTCCAGCTGAAGTTCCTGACCCAGGTATTTTAACTGGAAGGAATTTTAAATTGCTTCAGGTTTTCTCAATATTTCCTTCCTACAATACAGTCTGGAATAGACAGAGTAAAAAATTACCATTAATCCAGAAACAGCAGCAGATGTACTGTCTGGAGAAAGGTTGATTTCTTTCATGGGACCAGTCTTTTCTTTGGGATTCACTCTAACTCTGTAGCCAGTGAGACGAACATTTGGCGCGTTCCAGTTGACTGTAAGACTGGTGGGAGTTATCTGAGTAAACTTCAGGTTTGTTGGAGGAGGAATTGCTGTGAAAAGTCAGGATTGGCACACAGTTAGTTTGAAGATAACAATCTCAGGTAAAGCAATAATCTTTCCTGAACGTGAAACAGTTCTAGGTCTGAAATGCCTGGGCAGAAGTGGTGTGGAAGTGGACAAGATATTCAAGAGCAGACTTTCTAATATGTGATAAAACTGAAATATGGATGTGTTTGTGTTTCCAAGTAGGCAAGTAACCCTGCTTGCCATGATATAAGGCAAAGGCTCTGGGAGGTGATTACTGCACATGGGGCCAGACTGTTTTAATAGTTGTGCCTGTCTCTGCTCTTTATTACACAGCTGTTAGCTTAGCCCTGTTTCACTTGCCCATCTCCACTGACTTCTTTAATGTGATTGACTTACAAAAGGAGGTAGGAAGCAGGCTCAGAAACTGCAAAGAGGGCACAAAAACACTGCCAAATGCAGAGAGGAAGCTTTTGCAGCCACTTAAAATAAGTGTAAACTACTAGTCAAAGAGAAAGGCAATGGAAAAGCCCAGCTATGATAGCCATCAGTAAGAGTCTGGTCATGAGCTAATATATCTGACATCTTTTTAAAAAACTGCTCAGCTTGAAATGAATAAAATCCAATTAAATGTTTTCTTGCCTTACTACTTGTAACCCTCAGGCTGCAAATAGGGAAGAATATATTTTACCACAGTATCCACTATACGTTGCTGTGAAGTTTCCTACATTTGTAGAGTGGAAATAAGACAATTTTCCTTTGCTTTTCTCAAAGAGAGCTTAATCCAAAGCTCTGGAGACCCAGTGGAAATTAAGTGACTTCAAATGCTTTTGAACAGGCCTGCAAAGGGTAAACCACCAAGAATGGCATGTAAATATCATTTGCACTCATGGCAGGCAGTTAGCCAGCTCAGTCATTCTGACACTTTGGTTTAGTTTACAACAGCAACCTGCACACTAGGATCAGCCATCGTCATGGAGTCCTTGGCATGACAATGCCAAGTTTTCATCCACAAATGAACAGAAGAACTTTATTACAAATGTGCTACCGAGACATGTCTGGCAATGCTGGAAGCCTGGCAATGAATTTCATATTGCTGGCAGTGTTTCTCTCTCAAGGAACAGTTTCCAGCACTGAGTTGGATTGACTTGTACATAAGGGAGAGCTCTCCCCTGAATGGAGCTTGCCCTTATCTCCTGGAGGAGGTGATATGAATGGCAGAGTGCAGGCAGGCAGGCATCCTTCGGTAAGCAACAGTAAAGGATCAAAAGGCTCTGTGGGGACTGGAGGTCAAGCAATTGCTCAGCCCTTCACACTGATTTTTCTTTATTTATTTGCTCCAGCCAACAGTAAGGACCCCAAGGAAATTAAAGCTGCACGGGTAGCTGTTGCTGGTAACCTGCCCTGATCCCCAGATCCCCAACTCTAAAGATTTTTCACCCTGTGTCAGGCTCCCCAGCTAGGGGCCAGGCATAACTGATCCACAGGAGGAGGCAGTGAGATCATGTTCCTCCCTTCCCTAGAGTCTACTCCTCCAGTCCTGCTCTCTCATCTTCCCTAACATGTACAGAGGCTGACTCCGTGGGCACTGAGCTCTCCAGCATAACACACTGCCTCTCCAAAGCAGTCACATCCCGTGGGCTGCCCTTGTGCACCGGTTGCATGTGGAAGCAGTGTCCCCAGCAGGGCAGAAGCCCCTGCTGCCATGGCCTGCTGGGGTGAAGGTGTACCTGTGGACTGGGTCCCAGTGAGGGGCAGGCTCTCCATGTCATCGTATATGGCAACGATATTGATAGTGTACTCAGAGCCTGGCCTGAGGTCATGCAGCTCAGCAGTGTCTTCTTCACCACCTGGGGCCGGCAATAGCTCATGGATTCCATCCTCAGGGCTTGAGTAGGTCACCCTGTACCTGGTGACTTGCCCCTGTGGGCTTTCCCAAGCAATTTTGATGGAATCAACATCCACCTCAGTGAATGTTAGTCCTTTAGGGCGGTCAATGTCTGTTAGGCAAATTAACGGTAAGAGGTTAAGTGATAAAAAGCAGGTTGTAGGCGAGGGATAAAAAAGGCATTTCTGCTACATGCAAAGCAGTTTTTTGGTTTTGTGCGGGAGAGGGACACGTGATTCTCCTCTGTGCTGCACCTTGCACACATGCTTAGACCTGTGCAGAGCAAGCCTGAGAGTCTGCGAGTGCCATAGAGCAGGAAGGCAATCCAGGCCTTGTCAAAGCCAACAGGACTTGCACCACTGCCTTCAAAGCAGCCAGGGCCCTGACTGCTTACACCAAGGGCCCCTTGGCTCTGAAGCTCCTTTTACACAAATCTAGCAGCATCAAGCCACCTCAAGTAGCCAAGAGAAAGAAAAATACAGCCACTTCCTAGTGCAAAAGACAGCCAGATGCTCCACCTGACTGGGGAAATTCAAACGCTTGCTGTATTTGACTTTTGCTGTTGTAAGCTGCTGTGCAAAGTGTCAGCCCAAGGAGAACCAGTCCCACCATTCTTTCATGAATTAATATCCAATTAACACACTTATCAAGAGGACAAATTTCTTCATATAATTTAAAATAAACACAATTAAAAACAGAACAACTTTTCAACCTTGTACTGAGTACACAGGGACACCCACAAGTGCAACTGGGTTGTACACACACCTTTTAGGAAGAGTCACTGAATTTGTCTAGCAAGACTGGGGCTCGGTGCTAGACTGCAAGGCAAGTGAGCCTTGCTCCAAGGAAGCCCAGCCTGGCTACCAGGCAGCTATTCCCATTTCTTACACAAAATGGGAGGATCTGACATATCATTTTTATATGGGATCCAAGTTATTCTTTTCTGTAACATTCCAACTTTATTTGCTGTGTTATGTTAGTTCTACATTCTCTAGTTGGCAAAGGTGATTTTTTTTTCCCCCAGGAATTTGCTTGATTTGATATTGATGCACCTTTCTTCCCATTTTTGCAAAGCTTCAGAGAAGCTCCTTTTGTCTTTAGTACAATTCTATAATTAGTTGGGGCTGAGCTGTGGTTTTACAGAACAAACCTGAACAAGGGAACAACGTGCAGAAAATGCCTACCCAAGAACACCCTTGGGAAAGGCACTTCACATTAGAGACATCTGACTTGCATGTTCCTTCTTGCCCAGAAGAACACTGCTCTTCTGCACAGGGAGGTATGGCAATAGAAGGGCTTTCTTTGCAGTACCCAAGTTTTCAATAGCTCACACACTTTTATTCCCTTGCAAAGGGCAAGAACTCTCAAATCCATTCCAGCCCTTTAACAGGATGGAGATAAAATCACCTCTGCCACCTAGCTCCAGAAGGGAAATCTTTGCACATTTTTCCCCTTGATTGGCTGAAGGCAAACAAAACTCAGAGGCTTTGCAGCTTTAGGGCAAGAAAAACAAAAGCGCAGCATTTGAGGCGAGTGATTGCATTTTGCCAGCAATTTAGGGGAGAGGGACTGCATTTTTTTGCGGCAGTTTCTGCAATTTAGGTGCATGATACTTATCACATAGCAGGACACTTTGCACTCTCCTGGAAACTAGGCATCTGCTAGTTGCTCTAACTTAGAATCTGATACTTCATGGTAGATTTGTATGCCAACAGGAAAAACAACATTGCTTTGTTACTGTGAAGTGACATACGTACTGGTGACAGCTGTCTCGACCAAGGGCAGACTCTCTCCATTCTGATTCTGAGCATAGACACTGACCACATACTCGACTGTGGGCTGCAGGCCTTCAATAGTGACTTCCGTTTGATCTGCCAGGAAAGAACAATAGTGGCTTAATTTGGAACAAGGATAATATTAGCTCCTGGTGCCTTGCCCCTACTCTAACAAGCAAGCTGAAAATGGTCATAAGGGAAAAAAAGAGGCTAGAAAAAGCCTTCTCTGCCACCATGAAAAGCCTGTGTTGGACAGCAGAAGTGCTAGACCACAAGTGAAGCGGTTCTTATGGCAAGACTCAGATGCCCACCAGCCACAAAGGAGTTTTGTGGAGGCCTCACTTCGCATGCAAGTTTTTGCAAAAGGCACAACTGACTTGGTAAAACCAAGGGCACTTGCAATTCTATTCACAGACTGCAGCATGAACACTGTTTTCTAAGGCTTTTTACCCCATTGCTTGTATTTTCATGCCTTGAAGGCCTTATCCTTTGCACAGCTTTTCCTCTTCCTCCAAGCTTGCCAAAGGAAGCGGATGGCAACACTGACAGGCTCTTCCACATTTTACCTTGGAATTGCATTAAGTATTTTTTGCCTTTTGTGCAGGTCTCTTCAGCTGGACTAAGCTACAGAGTTCCAGCCTCTAAGGAGACAGGAATGAGAGCCTGACATGAGCCACTTCATGATTAATTGTCATTAAAGTGACTTAAGAGTTGACAGCTATGGTTTAACTTCTCCTTGTACTATGCCTCTCTGACAGTGCAGAACAAGAGATCTGCAAATTGTACCTGCGCAAAGACAATCCTACAGCTAAAAGAACAGGTTAGAACAGCAGGGAGCAAGGAAAACAGAACAAAGCAAACTCAAGAGGCAATCAGCCTTCATTTTCTGGGATAAGATTGAACATTAACCCAACTGCATGAGCTGTTGGGTATCCCCAAGGGCTAACTTCAGCAAATCTCACACAACACAACTGAAAGCCTTCCTGTGAGCAAACTGAGAACTGGCTGGCAGATCCCTTAAGGTAGAAAGGTCACGCTTGTAGCATGGACTTAGTCCCATACACTATCAAGTCTCATTCAGAAGAGCTTCTGAGTAAGTTTTGTTGGATATCAGAAAGTCCAAGGGTGCTCCCTTGAATCTCAGATGCCTCCCAGAGACACTGAGGTTGCCAAAACTGAAGCTTTGAAGCAGAGCTGCCTCACAGAACTGTGAGCCTTACAGGACAAAAACTTGCCCCAGTTTATCCTGGATGAGACTCTACTGCAGTCAGGAGAATGATAAGGAAAAAGAGAATCTGGTTTAGGGCATATGCCTAGCACTTGATAGTGCTAACTTTAGCTGCCACGTTTTTGATTCTTTATAGACTTGATGTCCTTACCTGCAGGAACCATTTTGGTCTTTGTGGGCCCATGTCCCTTCTTGGGGACAGCTGTCACCCGGTATCCTGTGACTGGGGATGTTGAGGGCAGCCATCTGACACTGATGCTGTTGTCTTGCACATCCGTTACCTGCATCTGGGATGGTGTGTCGATTTCTGGGCAGTAAATATAACCTCTGTGAGTACCTGTGCAAGAGGAACCCCTCCCTCCTCACCTCCTCTTGTGTCCCCCTCATGGTTAGGTCCTCACTGAATTTTATTCTGCTCTTCCCCAGCTAGGCTTCAAAGGGTCTCCCTCCTCTCCAAAAGTCCAAGCCCACATTGCCCTCCTCCATCATCTTAGCATGCTAGGCCAACCATGACATGCAACTCTACTGAAAATGAGGGGCTAAACACAATCCATGAGTTCCAGAAGAAGGTAAGAACCAGTGATCCAGCTTTATGGGATTAAGCTAACAGCTGTGAGCAGTTTTGGGTCCCTTTCCCCCATTTATTTCTCCTCCTCCCCTCCCCACAGATCTCACCTGTTTTGTAGGTGACAGTGACTGGCTTGCTGCTGGCTGGGCTGTCTCCACGGCCAGTTACTGCATACACAGTGATGGTGTAGTCAACTCCAGGCTTGAGGCCACTAATAGGAGCAGTAGACATGGTGCCAGGCACTGTAAATTCCTGCACAGGGCTACTTCCACCTGGGGAGGGTGGGGTAGAGAAAGAGTAATGCATGGCTCCATTTTACATATACTGTGTTACTAGAAAAACACAAGAAAAAAAAGGATATCAAAGAAAGGATCCCACTGATGTCAACAGATCTTGGGTCAAAGTCTAAGTCTGTTCCAAGTAACAAATGAAATACACAGATCCACCACTACAGTGACTAAAGTACCCTGGATGCAGTCATTCTTTTAATTTGCTCTCCCTTAAAAACAAATCTTACACTTGAAAGTCTTCTCTAAACACCTAACAAGGACCTTAAAGCCCCAAGACTGTTTTGTCTGCTGCAGACTTGCTTTTGCCATTTGCTCTGACTTTCAAATGGTCTCAGGAAAGAGCCTATGGTTGGTGCAGACAATGGCAGCCTGCCCTCACCTGTTTCACCGTAAGTGATGCGGTAGTATCTGACTGTCACTGCAGGAGCATCCCAGGAAATCACAAGGCTGGTTGGGCTTGTGGGGGTGACTTCTAGGTCCCTTGGAACATCAGACACTAGAAAAACAGAATTTAAAAGCGTTTAGCAGTTATCATATACCAGTTAAAAAGACATTTTCTGCCCTTAAGACCTGTTGACATAATCTGAAAGTGGCACGGGTCCTCCCTCCTCACCCTGGATCAGGCCCTCCCACAATATCAAAGGTACTTTCTTCCTGAACAGTTCCACCAGCTAGAAGGAAAGAACTGCTTTACCCACAACTGCTTTACTAGAGGACCCCCCAAAGTCCCAAGGTAACTTTTCAGTCTTTTCTCAGGGCTTACCCGTTGTTTGCTGGCCAACCAAGGGCAGACTCTCCTCCCTGACGTTGACAGCGACGATACTGACCACGTACTCGGTCCCTGGCAGCAGGTTGGTGAGGGTGATGGAGCTGCGGGAGGGCGGCACACGGTCCTCCTTGGGCCTGCCAGCCACGTGCTCCGGGTGATACCGGATCTTGTAGCCCGTAATGGTGGCACGAGGAGCAATCCAGTGAACAGTGAAGGAGTTGGCAGTTATATCCGAGAAGTCAAGGCCAGTGGGGGAATCGAGACCTGGGGATTTCACAGAGATGAAAGAGCGAGCTCAGCTGAACTGCTGGTCAGCATCACCTCACTACAGTGTCATACTGCACTAAGCTTCATGTCAAGCTAGTGCCAAATCCATGTCAAGCCAGTGCCAAATCTTAAGACAGATGCTAATCAGCTGCGCAACTAAACACGTGCATTTAGGATCAAACAGATGAACAAGCACTGCAACATAACTGCATAATGCACACTGACTGCTCTGCATCTGGGGTCCTTGCTAAATCAACAGCCTAGCAGGTTTTCATGTTTGCTTACAGCCACTGCACAAGCACAACTAAACACCCATGACCAACACACTATATCCGTGACCAATATGTTATTTCTGTCACACAATTAAACTGCAGGAAGATATGGTGATAGACATGTTATTGTGAAGCCTCAGGACACACAGGCAGCTTCTAGGAGGAAGAATGGCAAGGTTCTTCCTTAGGCTTGTTCTTGGACAGATGTAGTTGGTAGTCACAGGGAAGCCTACAATGCCCATATAAACCCCAAAGATCTGTATTTCAGATATGATGACCTCCACTTTTTCACGATTTAAATTTGTTTGATGTCTCATTGCAGATTCACCAAGAGGGTGACAATACACAGCAAGAGCAGCAAAGTCACGTTAACAGACATTTAAGGGATGACATTAACAGTTAGTGTAGTTCACGGTGAGTCTACATACCTGTTTTCTGGATTCCGGACAGAGGTGCACTCTCATGTTGCTCAGAAACACTGTGGACCCTCACCAAATACTCAGTACCAGGCAGCAGATCTGTGGAAGTTGAAGCGATTTAGACTTTTTTTTTTTTTTTTTTTTTAAGATCTTTACTCATGGATAGAAGTCTCTTGAAAACCTATGCAACATTAACTGTATTTCTCATAAGTGTAAGGGGCAGGGGGTGAATCAGTGGTAGATGGAAAATCTGACCCTCAAGAACAGTCAGAAGTTAAAACTATTCATTTTATGGCTTTCAAGCTGTTTGCATTATTTTCAGGAATAAACAGCAGAGGCATCCTGACTGCTACAGAGCTAGTCTCCTGTTCTGAAAGTGGATGCTGTTTCTCAATCTGGCTTCTAGGAGAGTGGGAAAAAAACAGTTTTTGCACCAGGTACAGCAAATTAATGCTGGATTTTTCAAAAAAGGCAGCCTTGTTGCCATGTCCTGTAAGGTTCCCAGAAGTATTTTCCTTGTCCTAAACATACAAAGTCAAAGGAACATTGACCTTTTGCATATTCTGATCCTTTCCCTGGACCTCTGCACATAAAGTCCTTGACATTTTTGTCAAATGAGCATAGTAGTATCTATTTACTCTTAATACCTAACCAGGCTGTAAATCAAAGCAATTTCCCCATAGCCTGACTCAACACCGTCCTTGGATTAACCGGAAAACCTTACTGTGGGGTTTGGCTTTAACTTGGTTAAAGCAAATGGGCAAACACCACACGGTGTAAGTTTGTACGAGGTTACTTGGACAGCAGCTTAGATAGCTGAGAATTTGGGTAGTTACACTCTTGCTCCCCCAAAAAGCTGTCATACACAAAGCAGTTTTTCTTTTGCCTCACCTTACTTGACATCTCCCCCCAGGAACTCTGTCTGGTTTGGGATATTCAGTGAATACACTCTTAAGGACCCTACTATCCTATCCTTCAATTCATGTTTCATTTGCAGCCATGAAAGCTGCACTTGCCCCTTCCTTTCCCTCATGCTGTAGTGTGCAAACACATACTAAAAAAGAAGCTATCTAGCTGTTACAAATAAGGAAGAAGAGCTATTACCCAACGGACCAGGGCCCAAGCAATAGGAGGGGTCTTATATTTGTTGTCTTACATATATAAACCTTCTTACTTGTTAAAACCACCATATTGTCCGAGGGTGAAATGGTCAGCTCTGCAACATCCTCCTCCTTCTTCACGGGGGAATAGCGCACCAGGAAGCTGCTCAGCACGATGGAAGCTGGTGGTGTCCAAGTCACCCGCATGGCATCAGGCCCCACATTAGTGAAACGGAGGTCAGTGGGAGCAGGCACAGCTAGGTACAAAGAGCAAATGGATCTCAACTCTCTCTCCCAGGTAAGAGTTGATCAAGATGCACGTTCAGGGAATCACCGGAGAAGCTCGTCTCATGCACAACAGACTACAGAGTCAAAACCATGCAAACAGGACCTCTAAACTACATTGGTTCTACTACAGTTAGAAAAAAATGTCTGCACTGCTGTCAGGCTCCTTTAACCTCTTGGCAATTCCCACCACTTTAAATATACCCTGCAGGATTCATTTGAAAACAAGGTAGCAAGTTTCAGCAATGTGCTCCTTGCAGCTGGATTTCACATTACAGACGCAGAGCCAAGAGAGGCTTCAAGTTGCCACACAGCAGCTTACAGATGGAAAAGTCAACTTGTCTACAATTCATACATGCACACACAGAAGAGGAGAGAGCACTTGACTAATTTCCTATGACTCTACTTCTACGAGTGTTGGAAGGTTTACAGCCTCAGGATTCAGACACAGTAAGATTTCATGCAAGACCCAGTTCTTGGCTCGCCTTCCACCCATGCACTATGAAGACCCTTGATGGTGTGACATGGCTGTCAATGGCATGTGCTCAGGGACGGGTGTTTCACCTGCATCTTTGAGGGCATTGCAGAAAGAGCAGGGCCAGCAGCAAAACAGACCGATGACTGAGCCAGCCATCAAGGCTGCGGAGGGACTGGAGGGTGTGTGCTGAACTGCCTCCACCCTTTGGCACTCGTATGTTGTTGGAAATGACAATTTAAAAGTCTAGCAATTATACAGCTCCAATTTCAGCTTTGCCTCCAAATGGATCCCAAAAGGCTGAACAGCCAAACGTGAATGAGCCTGGCAGCTCTGCAGCTATTTGCAGTACTAAAATACCATAATTTCAGAAACTGAGGTGTGTATCCACCCCCAGCTGCAGTTTAGGAATTAAAGTGAGCTGGGCCTGTCTACCCTTGCCCCATGGGCAGCCCAATTCTCTTTGCACAAAGCCCTGTCATCCCGACAGCCAGTGACAGCCTGAAACACCGTCCATGTCACGAAACACAGAAGTTTTCAAAATTCACCCGTTTGCTGTGTCAGAGTGGTAGGGGCGCTCTCTCCGCCATTAATGAGTGTGATTACACTGATGTCGTAATCAATGCCCGGCTCCAAGCCTGTGACTGTGTAGTATCCTACTGAGGAGTCCACAAAATCTTCAAAAATAGGGACACTTTCTCCTGCCGCAACTACAGTGATGCGGTAGCCAATAATGGTGGATGCATTTAACGGGGTCCACCTCAGGCCGATGCTCGAGTCAGTTATGTCAACAAAGCTTAGGTCAGTGAGTTGGGGCACCTCTAATAAGTTAAAGAGCAAAGGGGAAAGGCAGAGACACACGGGGCAAAAGAAAGACAAGGGAGAAAAAAGCAGTGGTCATCACTTAACATTGACGCAACTTGAGAAGCAATTGAGGTGATATGCAGAATTTACCTTGAGTTTAGGGAAAAATAATTTTCCTTTTATTATTTTTTTAATCATACCCTTCTAGGCAAACCCCAGCCACCTCCCCAGTGTAGGCAGAGGCTGAAATTCAGTTCCCCTGAGACCAAATACTTCCCACTTGAGATGTGCAAACTTCAGAAAGGCTTAAAGCAAGCTAGGTGCTGAACTTGCATCAAATTTGCTTTGAGCAACGATGAGACAAAGACCAATCTTTTTCTGATGAAAATATAAAAGTTCTGGCTTGTTTGCACATTAGAAAATACAGGGAGTAAGAACCTTTTCTTGTCCATAATATTCAAGTAAAACAAACTCTTTTGAAATATTAGTGATTTGCTCTCAAAAAAATCCTCTTGTTCAACTGTTAGGTTTAACTTGTATTCTTTTGCTTATCAAAAATATGAACCCCTTTGAAGTTGCTCAACTGGCCTAGACCCTCAGCTAGGGAGAACCCTTGTAAAGCTTGGCTGAGTTAATCTAGTATCCAAACTATTTACACTGGACTTGGAAAAAGCTCAAGTCTCTCTAATGGCTTGAGGAGCTGGCCCACAGTTCCTCAAGTTCTACTTACCACTAACTCCTGCAGTTATATGTGCTAAAAAAGATGATCTAGAACAGTCAGTAATAACCATTTTCTTAAAAAAAATGATTAAAAGTCATATTTAGATCATGAGCACATGATCTAAATTCACAGCATCCCCATGTGAGAAATTCACAGCATCCCCATGTTCAGAGATTATGCCCAGCATGTGATGTGGCCACAATATGGATTTCTGAGCTAAATTTCTCAATCTCAAAGCTGAGCCACTCAGTTAGGATCCTCTTTACTAGTCTTTTAAATGTTGCCTAAACTTCTGCATGGCAAACATAGCCAGCTGGGACTGTTTTGCCCATGAATTTCAGTTCTATAGCATGCTAGGACCAACAGAACTGGGTGAGTGGTAACTGCATCTTTCATCTACACGGGCCAAACCTTCAGCTGCTCAAATCAGTAAGTTAGTATTGATTTAAACCACAGATTTTAGCTGCATAACTTCAGCAGAGAGATCCTGAAATCAAGGGGAAGAAATGGGTATTCTTCCCCACTCAGGATCAGATACAAAGATGGGAGTCAAAGATGGAGGACTCTGTATCCATTCTGTTGGATCATTACAAGTTAACTAGAAAAGGAATTACGGGATGGTATTATTGGAAAAGGTTGACTTCACTAACAAGGGTTATGTCCTATTTTAATGCCCTGCTGTGGAAAAAAATCTTTAACAGAAGAAGTGCCCAAAATGGTCCTTTTTCTGTAAAATCATTTTTTATCCATATGGAATGCATGTATCATATCACCTTTAGAGAGTGCTAAAAGCCACAGACATACATTTTTAGCTCGCTCTTCCCCATCAGAGGATGGAGAAGGGTTGGAGCTTTAATCACTGCTTTGATTAGGCAGGATCACAATATTAGTTCTCTCACAGGGAGCATACAGCACCTCAGTGAAGCATGGAAATTTTAAAGCAGTGTTATAAGAGCAAGCAAACACGATAGCTGGCATCATTTCAGGGCTGAGCAGAAACAAAAAACAAACAAATCCCTCAGAAAGGAACACAAAATCAGACCATCTGAGGAAGACTGACATTAATTTTGCTACTGTGGCTACAAAGGGAGTTTTTGCCGTCATCTGAGCATGTAGTGCAAGGAAACACACACCACTAGTGTCCAAGAACTGCTACGGAGGTGGAGCTTTCCATCTCAGGTGTCTTCTCCTCATGCTGAAGTGATCTTCTGCCACTGTTTGCTGCCAGAAGTTTTGGCTTTCTTCCCACTCACACCCTACTTCCCTATTTGCCACGACCGCTGGCTCGGCTCTAGATGTCAGGGCCCTGCAAGGCCAGGCCAGATTCTTGTCACACAGCTTGGTACATGATATGACAGATCCATCTCCTTAACATGCCCTGTCTCTGGGCTGACAGGATAGGCTGCCCAGCCAGAGAACTAAGGAATATGTCTGCTTTGTTCCTAGCCTGGTGTGGCTATTCTGCTTCTGGAGACTAAATATGATGTCCAAGCCCACTACCAGAGTAATGGAGGTTCTGCAGTGCAGAGCTCTTCATCTTAATTTATCTTTGAGTGGCTGCAAATGCTGCCCATCTTTCATTACCTTGTGTGATGGTTTTAGAGATGGGGGGGCTCTCCTGGTTGTCCTTGACCGTGTACACGCTGACGTTGTACTCCACACCCGGGCTCAGGTTTTCAAAGGTGCAAGTGGTCTGATCAGCATCCACTACTTCCTCCAGGGTATAACCCTGCTGCCCACTGGTTGGGACAGTGGTAACTCGGTACCCGCTGATGCCTGAAATGCAGTTAACCAATATGCAGTCATCCCATTACTGCTGAATTTATATGCATTAGGCCTTAAAACAAATAGCTGAACTAAACATTAAACGAGTTGGCCACCCTGAGCCCAGCAGATAAGAGGTTGCTTTGCCAAGTACCCAGAAACGGTTTTTCCAAGAGGAAGCCCTGCTGTTCTCACAGCATTGTTTTCATTCCTTCTGAAACTTTATCAAGCCGACAATCTAGTGACATAAGCTAAGCAAAGACACATCTCTTGGCTGGGAGTGGGATATTCAAAGGCTTTTAAAAGTCAATTGTACAACTCCCATCTGCTTCTGTGGAAGAAGAGTTTATCTTGAATTCTTGCAGAAATCTCATCCTTCCAATGGCACAGCCTCATTCTTCACTGACAGAAGTGTTTTTGGTTTGTGTTTTTTTTGGGGGTTCTTTTTTCTTGTTCTTTCCCCAGACTGTTTTTAAACCAGTGGGGATATTTCAAGAAGTCCTTCAAATCTCTGAAACAGCTGAAATATTTGAACACAGCCATACTCCAAAATACCATTCTACATGGAATGTAAAGCCTAAGGAGTCCTACTGCAATGTATATTTAACTTCAAATTATCTCCTTCAAATTATCCAAAAATATTTATTTTTCCTTTTTCCCTTAAGTGATTCAGTGGCAAATTTCCCATCAAAATCTGCTCAAAAGAACTGCAAAGCACTAAGTTTCACCATTTTGGTACAAAAGAGGGTTGAAGCATATTGTGAGCGCCATGTAGTTACCTGGAGTTGTGCTTCTATCCCAGGAAACTATCAGAACGCCAGTATCAGGATTGGGCTCAAGACGCAAGTTGGTTGGTGGTGACAAAGCTGCAAGTAGCCAGACAAACGGTTCATTAATGGCAGTGAGAATCATGTCAACTCCCCCAGCATGCCCCCCCTGTGGACTATATCCTCATCCTTCAAAATTAGTCAGCAAGAATCTCCTGAATATCCCCACGCTAATTCAACCACAGCTATTATCACTGATGTGTCTGAAGAGCAAACACCTCAAACAGAGATGAGATGAAAGGGCTACAACTGCCATGCCCTGCTCTTCAACTGAAGGGCACGTGGGAAACGCATGCAAAGAACCACCACCAGGGCAAAGCAAAAGTGTCATACGTGTTGTCACTCTCCTGATGATGGGAGTCTCTCTCTCCTGGCCGTCCATGAGCACCGTGAGGCTGTAGGTGTACTCTACTCCAGGGGTGAGGCCGGATATCACGATGCTGCCGGAATCAGAGATCACCTCCCGGGGAGCCTCTCCACCCTGGCTTGGGCGCACACCCAGCTGCACAGAAGCCACAAACAGGTTGTGTTTCAGTCTCAGAAACTCCTGTTGCATGAGCTATCAGCAGTCAGATGCACCATTCAACAAGAGCAGCATGGCCTGTAGGCTTCGCACCAAGTTTACATTAATCCAGAGTAGGTAACCTGTGCTCAAGTTAGATTGTTTTCCTACTCCAGTGGTGTGTACTCTAAGGGCACAAGCCTTCATGGACGCGCTACTACAAAGACTGGAGACGTAACTACCAAGGATGGAAAGCCTGGGTTACAGAAGGTCTCACTGGTGAATGTGACCTGAAGCCCAGCCACATACCTGCATGATTCTTAGTGATCTCTGCAAGCACCATGTCTTTTGCATCTCTTCCCTTTGTGATATTATCTTCACTGTGGTCATCAGCTTTAATTGATCCTCCCTACCCTCGTTAGGCATGAGATAAAGAAACAAGGGACTTCATTTTTCCATACCTTGAAGCCAATCCTTGGGGCAGGTGTCCAGGTGATGACAATAGAAGTCTCAGTCACTTCAGTATTGAAAGGAGGAACAGAGCCAACAGGCTGATCTGTGATGTGAAGAGACAGAGTTACAGCCTAGTTGCTGTGATGGCATTGAACCACTGACAAACCTGACTCATAGCAGCCCAAGCAGAAAAAGATGCTGAATTTTTATTACATTTGAAAATTAAGTGGTCACGGAGGATCTGACAGTTTCTGCCTGCTCACAGTTTTGATAGGCCAAATATGCAAATGGTTTAATCACAGCTGGTGTTGGTTTTGGCCACGAAGAAAGCTAAGTCCTAAGGCACCTTAAGTCCTCAGTCTACCCAACCCCAGTATTTTGAGGAATGTTGTTCTTGGAACAGTAAGCAACCTACTTCTCAAAGAACAGCTTTCCCCTTCACCCATCATTTGTCATTTGAATGCAAGAGACTTTTCTGCCATTTTTGCAACTAGTCACAAGAATGCAAGATATTTTTGTCATTCACTCGTCCCAGGTAGGACCATCTCACCCCTCAGTAGTGCCTTCAGCATTTGAGGGCATCACAGCGCATTGAGTCATCTCATCTCCTATTTGAGTGGTTTTTTGTTGTTGTTTTTTTTTTTTTTTTTAATATTTAAGGCTATTTCTGTCAGCCAAAAGACCTGGGAGTAACAAGGTCAACAGCATTATTTTGGTAAAGCATCAACCCTTATCTTAATTCTTCATTATCACAGAAGAAATCATGTGGTCTTTTAAAAAGAGGATGTGGTTGTGGGCTTGGAGTGAGGATTGCTTCATTTGAGTTTCATTAGTTTATATATGACTTCATCATTATTTAAACAGTGAATCTATTTCTTCTTTCTAGAAGTGTACATGAGTTCTTACAGAACATCCTTTGCCGCTGCAATTCATTTATCATTTCTTTCAAGCAAATAGTGGAAGTATGAAGTGTAAGTATGAACAAAAGAGGACAAAATACAATCCTAGCACCAGTTTCTGTATTTGCAGTTCGACCTGAGAAATTATGTTGTTGGCTTTATACAGGCTAATTATTTCTTGCTTGCTTTATGCAACGTTTTGCTTCCCTTGATTTGTCATGCCCAAACCAGACAACTGCAAAAAAACAAGTAAAATTAAGTTTGTGTCATTTAGTTCCTCAAAACTGATGAATTAGTTGGGAGTTTCCATTGCTTTGCTTTTAATCACTGAGAAAATGGAATGCATTTTTACTTAAAGCTTTTTGATGCAAACAGCTTTTTCCCTGCCAGAGTTCTGAGAAGAACCAGAAGCATTTCCCAAACAATTATGCTGAAAAGCTGGTACCAAAAGCCTTTTCTGTGAACCAAGTCACAACAGCCACTTTCTGTACATGCCTGCAGTTCTGAAGGGCCAGGGCATCAGAGAGGAATATGTGCCCATTATACTTACATGTAGTGAAGACCCCAGTCTCTCTGTTGCTTTGCAAGTCATCTTTAACTGCCACAAGGTACACGGTGTACTCGGTGCCTGGCTGCAGGTTCCTCAGAAGGTACTTGGTGGCAGAAGGTCCCACGTTGTAGGTCTTTGGTTGGCCACCCCTCGTGGGACCGGCAGTCAGTCGGTAGCCTGTGATCACAGCACGGGGCCGCGTCCACAGAACCAAGACCGTGTGCTCCGTGGTGTTGAGGAACCTCAGGTTGGTGGGGGCATCAAGCTCTGGGGAAGAAGAAAAAACATGCTGGAGTTTTCCAGCTTAACCCCCTGCCAAAACAAGCCTGCTTGCCAACCCATCTAGCAGGTCCACTTCACTTGAAAGCAGGGGTGAAAAGTGGAGCTCTCGAGCCTGTATTTTTCCCTTAGGCCATGGGTATAACAGCAGAGGAGAGAAATGGAGCATGACCATGAAAAAGATGGAAGTAGGAGCCAAATAAACACATCCACGTCTCTGTACTTCAGGTGATCTGCACCTGCCCTGCTTTTGGGCTCCAAGCAGACATGACCACAAGTCAGTAAATGCTGAGCCAGGAGACCAAGGTATCTGAGGCTGTGCCCACCAGGTCGCAGCCTGTGGGGAAGGCAGGCTCATGGCAGAGCCACCCCAGCAGCTCTTGGGAGTTTCACTGCTCTCTCATGAATGCTCAGCGTTTTTTTAAGAATTAGTTCAGTTTAGACTGTCCAGCAATGACAAAGAAACCTAACTTTAGCTTAGCTTTTATTTATTTATAAATATTTTTCTTTGCCCAGTCCATTCCCCAACAACCCCTTTTCCAAAGGGGTAAAACGAACAAACCACAAGAATACCCTATTCCTTGTCATTTTAGTATAGATATAAATAGCAGTCAATGAGTTTCTGGAAAAAAATAATTGTTAATTCTACTTGAAAATAATCATGGCATAGAACTTGCTCTAAAACAATTCTAAGCATGCTCATCTCTCCCAAGGGACTACTGCAGCTGCTCTCATCACACTTCCTCCCCTTCAGCTACCACTGGATCAAGAGCAACCTTTGGGATCTGCTGAGGCTGCTAATGCAGAAAAGCACGAACAGGAGTTCAAAGTGACAGAGCTCCTTTAGGATTGTGCTGAGTGCAGCGAATGCTGGAGGAGTTGTCCCCTTCAGCTGAGCCATCTGTGAGACAAGATGAGGTTGGAACAGGAGAGATTTTGCCAGTTCTCTCCCACCAAAGGCACTGGCAGCCTTTGCAGTGGAAGTTGTGGTGTCTACGTGGTAAGTTTTCCATCTTTTCTAGGCCACAATCCTATGTTGAAACTAGGATCAGTGAGAAGAGGCTCTACTAATGCTCCTACTGGGAGAAGCAAGCTCTTTTTTCTGAGGAAATACTGTTTTTGTAACTACATTAGCTTTCATTAACTATTCCTCCAGAACAGTTTGGACTCGTGCCCTCCTACTGCTACAGCGAAAAGCAGCTTTTGTCCCCAAAAAGCTACTTTCATCCTTTTTTCTTTGACTGAGGAAGAGGCAAAAGGAAACAAGGACTCCCCTTTTCTGCCACTTCCAGAGAGTGCAAGAAGATAGTCCTAAAGATCAAAGGAGTGGGACCCTCCTCAAGCTCATCTCTAACTAATAACAGGTTGGGGAATCAGATATATCCTTTCTTGATCCTTAGATCTGTGTTAACTCCCATATGACAAGGGCTGTTTCTTTCTCTGCTTTGTAGCCTACAGTCACTTCCTTTCTGCACGATTTAATTTGCCAGCTCTATTAGGCTTTTATCACTTCCTCTCCCTATACCAAAGGGAAAAAAAAGGAAGATAAAAAGCCACACATGCAGACACACAAACATGCACATGCACACACAGTTTATTTGGAGACAAAAGGCCAAAAAGCAAATTGCATTTACACCGTGGGAAGAGACTTTTGCTGCAGGGTTTTCCTTGGGAACTCTAAATGATTTCTTTTTCCCAGGATTTTCGATTACAGGATGCAATTTAAGGGAATAGTTTCTGAAATGTGGCTTAAGCAAAGCAGTTAAGAGGATGCTCACAGCCTATGGAAAACAATTCCAGACATTTGCCACTAGGCCTGTGCTGTCCAAATCAAATATCCATGCTCAGTGTACACCTCTGCATATAGCTTTCTCAGAGGGGGATGCTCTATGCCTAGCTAAAGGTCCTGGGAGCAGCCACAAAAACATGTGGATCTCACTCGATCCCTCTTGTTCAAAAGGCTTTCAAGAGGCTTCGCACTGCTCGTCACATCCTCACTTTTAAAAGCCTCATTTGGAAGAGGATGGAGGGCATTCACATCTGTGTTACACTCAGATTAAGTCAAAGGACAAATTTTGGAACTCCATACTCCCCATAGTCAGGGTAGCTGGTAAGAGGAAGAAATACTGTTCATGGTCCCTAGATCTATGAATAAATAGTGTGAAAATACTGTTAGAAATAATTTCTTCATTTCCTCTCCTTCTCTCATCCATATGTGTTATGCTGGATTTTCAAAGGACACTACTTTTGAGTAGTGTAAGAAAGGCAGATGACACAGGCAGCTGAATATCGACCCAATGCATTATGCGACCTGGTCAAGGGGCAGCACTAACACTCTCACTCCTGTACCATCCAGTAAATGGAATTGGTTCAGGGGCACCTTATCCCAGGTGCTGTATGATCCACTTCTGGATCATGATCAGAAACAGGCAGACAAAACAGATGCTAACTCGCCTTCCCACTGGAAACCTACATCTCAGGTACTGCTCCTTTGTTCTCTGTGCTTCCGAAAGGGAGAGAGCAATGATGGCCAGACTTCACTCTGCTTCTCACCTTGCCTCACACAGGTGACACTGCACAGCTAGTACATGATTAGCAGCCATATTGAGACACCCTGCGTGACCCTTCCCCAAAAATACACCCTCCCTTATCCAGAGGACATTGAGATCAGTGCAAATCAGTTTCCCAGGTTTCACTGGAATGACCCTTCAGTTGCAGGGTTGGCAAAAGTGCCTGCAAGACAGGCTGTGGAAAGTCAGGTCAGACAAAGCTGAAATGCAGTCCCTCTTACAAAAAGTCCTGTCTTCACAAGTGCATATAGAATTCCTGCTGAAGAGGGAGCCAAATAGGAATGCAGCTGTCAGGAAGGAGATAGGGATTTTGAGAGCAGTCTAAGCAATGCTCTTGTGTCACACTGAAATCTGCCCTGAGGTATCGTTGAATTCACAGGCTGTGATCTGTGCTGTAAAAGAACTGCAGGGCCCATCAATTCTCAGCCAGCAATAAAAAAGTTGAATTCTAGCCATATGAAATTGTTTTAAAGTGCCATGAGAGTTAAACTCCCATTGGAAAGCCCTAGAGGGATATAAATCTGCTGAAGAAATCACTGTTTGACTGAAGGAATTCCCAGCGCTGTCATCCTACTTATGGGATACCTCCTGGGCTAGAACTGCTTCACTTTAGAAAAAACATAAACAGAGCACTTAAACAACAGAAATATTCACTTCAAAAGGCTGAAAGAAGTCTAAAGACACTTACTGGTGGTTTGCTCTCCGGTCAAAGGTTTGCTCTCCCTGCCATGGCTTACAGCAAAGATCTTGAAGAGATACGTTGTTCCTGGGAGCAGGTCAACAACTTCAGCAAAAGAGCTCCTGGAAACTGGCAGCCTCTGGCCGTGCTGGCCAGGGCGATTGACAGGGATAACTTCCACCCGGTAGCCAGACACGCTGCTCTCCGGCGGGGTCCACATGATGGTGATCTTGACATCAGAAACCTCCACGAACTGCAGATCTTTGGGTGAGGGAACTTCATCTGAGAAGAGAGATCATATAGAGTGTTAGGGAGAGTCCTGAGCAACTGGCAGAGGCGGCCACATTACCTTTAATACATACACACACACCTTTCTAGACAATATTAATGCAGACTGCACATTTAAAGTGGCACTACACTGCTTTAAGTACTTTATGCCTCAAGACATTGATAATATATTGCTGTCAAAAAAAACCCTACAGATTCAATATGCTGCAGAACTTCAAGTATATGCAGAACTAAAGGCTTGAAAAGCACTCCAAGGGCTGGAAATAAGAACTTTTTGAAAATTAAAGGACAGCATCTTAAAAATTACCATTGTAAGGTTAGAATGTCTATAATTAACTTAAAATCCATCTTTTATAATTGAATAAATATAGGGGTTGATCTGGCCTTACTGTAGTCAAAGAAAATCCCGTTTCCTCTGTTTGGCCCATAGCACTGCACCATTGAACCCCCACACTCAAATTTGGTTTAAGTTAGGACTGATACTGCTCTGCAGTTAAGCAAAGCACATTTTCAGAAGACACAGATGCCAAACCATAAAAAGGCTGAGCTGAGTTCTGGCTGAGCTGAGTTTGTGCCTGGTAAATTCCATTTGCGAACACATGTGCTTGCAACTTGCATCACCATCAAATTCCATTGCCACCACATCAGATCCCAGTTCTTTCCCTATCTTTCTTTTGGTTTGGTTATTCAATCCAATTGGTTACTTCAAGAACTTTGAAACCAGTATTTTTTCAAATGTGCATGCGTCAAATTGAGATCACATGGTTTTATTCTGGCACATCTGTCCATGCTGAGCAATCTCCCAGCCCTACTAACTGCAGTGGAAAAAAATATAACTGAAAGGGAGAGTACGGGAAGCAGGGGTCAGGTGAAGCATTCACACTTTTATTGTGGTATCAAAATATGTAGCCTTAAATATTCACAGTTCAAGTACTGAGACAAAATGATCTACTAGGCTTGTAAGATCTCTTAAGATAACCCTCCTGGGACAACTTAGGAAACTGATCTTTATTTTCCAAAGACACAGCCTTACAAGGCAAAAACCAAACGTCTGACATGCTTCCAGTCTGGTCCCTAGGTATTCCCACTCCATGAATGCACAGCAGCAGCTTGAGTGTGTCAGTCTAAGAACAGCAGAACTTCACTACAGAACTCCATTATCAGTGATATTTATAATAATTTTAAAATTACACACAAAAAGAAACACAGAATTTAGGGCCCATTCAAGAATTCAATGGCACTTCATGTTCAGCTACAGCAATGCTAATTTGTATTGCTATTTGGCTCCACATGCTGGCAGAGAACCTTTCTGAGATGCTGATACCCAGAACATGCTGGCCCTTACCTGTGCGTGGGACGCCGGTGGTTTCCTGCTGGATGAAGACAGGAGTACTCTCCTGATTCTCTTCTACTGCATAGATGCTGATGTTGTATTGAATGCCTGGCATTAAGTCACTGAGCGTGACAGAGGTAGCAGTGTCAGGCAGGTTGAGCTCTGTGCTGCTGCCTTCCACGGAGGGAGTGTAGATAATCCTGTAGCCTGAAGCAAGAGAGGGATGGTGAGTCCTTAGACACAGCCAGTAGATAAGCACAAGGAAGACCAGAACTAAGCAGATCTTCCCACTGAGGCTTCACAAAAACAATCCTGAACTTCAGTGGCGTTTGTAGCTCCCCTTTGCTGAAGTCCTGTCTACAGGCTATAAGTTTGTAATGCCTTGTATTAATGAGCAAACTGACCTGGATCAGAATATTCCTGAGCTTTGGCATACATATTTAGGGCCTATGCAGCTCATGTTTGTAATGGGATGGTCTAGATGACAGATATACAGACAAGGTCATGGTGCTTGTTTATTTAACCCAGATCAACTAGGAACCATTTTTCATCCAGCTGTCCCAACTGCAAACAGCAAAACCTTTTCAGCTCTACGCCAGGCAAGCGCTGCACTGCTCATGTGCTTTCCAGCTGCTCTCCTAGACTGCTGCACTTAAAAGTACCTACCCTCCCTCCCAGAGTTGCGTGCTTTCTTTTTGCTAGATTTCAGATTGCATCAGTAGTGCACAATAAGTTAGCCAAACCTGTGATCGGAGCCTGTGGTCGTGTCCAGCTGATAACAATTGATGTGTCATCTACACTTTCCACGGTGTGCTCAGGGGGTGCATCAGGAGCTATTTAAGGGAATAACAGAGGAAAATGGCAAGCTTGAGGATGTGAGGTGACAGAAATGCATTGAACAATTTACTGAAGAGCTGCTTTCAAAGCACAGCAATACCCAGCCACACATACCTGTAGTCTGTGAAGTAGACAAGATCAGGTTCTGTTCTCCTTCCTCAGAGATCTGGTAGACATTAACAATGTACTTGCGACCAGGAAGCAAGTCGGGAATGTTGACAGAAGTAGCTGTGCTTGGAAGATCTAAAGGAGAGAAATAAAACAGAAGTACTTTAGCAATTCTCCTTTCTTCTCACAAAGGGAAGTAACAGAGATATCTTCCTAGCTGGGCTGAATAACAGTTTTATTGTGATAAAAGAGTGATTGTTCTGTAAAGCATCCTCAGTTCACACCAGAAGCTGTGTGAGAAGCTAGCACAGTCCTCTACACACAGCAAGCAGGCAACACCTAGGAAGCAAGGGCTGGGCTGCAATACAGGCAGGGCAGCTGGAGGAGTAGTGCCCTGCACTCTGCCGGCCTTTAGCCAGCTTGGTTGAGCCAGCTGAGGACTTGGTCCACACCTGTACCTGTCACATTTCTAATATAGAAAAACCTGAAAATTTACCAAAATGCTCATGTGGAAAGACTAGCTCACAATTGAAGATGAAGGGCACAATGAGACCTGAAACTCTCCACACATCCCTTCCCCTAGATGCCCACCTACAGTCCAGATGCAGGAAATTCCCCATGAAGCAGCCCCTTTCTGGCCAGACAGCAGCCAAGCATCAGAAGGGGAACAGAATTGCCTTCAGTTTGTCTTAACTTCTGTCTCTGGAGAAGTGAACTTCAGAACTGGTTCACTACAGCTCTGGCTGTCCAGGCAGCCAGTATGAAGGCAAGGAAGGTGCTGCAATTGTTCCAGCATAAGCCATTCCTTGTCATAAGTCCAAGCCTGCAAGCTCGGCAGGGGCCGCAGCTCAGGGGGAACTACCAGGTCAAAGGATTATTGTTCTTTTGCTCATGTTCTTCTTCTATCACATATACAGCCTAATAGACATTTCAGCAAAACAAAATAACTGACAGCACAGACTAGGACAGACATCTGTGAAGGAACAAGTAGCCAAAAGAGTAAAAGGGAAAGATGCTCTCTGCCCATTCTGATATGGGGACAAAGGGGTAGAGGAAATTAGTCTTGTGGCAGTTTTAAAAAAAATCTGTCTGCAAAGCAGCTCACTTCAGGATAGTGAAGGACCTATTAAGGTTGCATGAGTCTTAAAATAAACAAGTCATAAAACAGAAGGGTCATGGCAGGAAGAAATCTATCCATACATATTAAAACAAAGATATTGTTTCTAGCTCAGGGTGCTCTCAGCTCCAGGACTCTGGGAGAGCATTATGAGCTACTGCTACATACTTGCCTTGTTCTCATACCCTTCCTTAGGCATGAGATTATGGGCTTCGATAGAGAAAGGACACTTAAACGACAGCAAAATTCTCATTCTTCACCCCAGGCACAGAGATCGTGACAGAAAACAGCCAGACCTGCTGTAAGCCATGCAGTGGTCTGGCAGACTCGAGCAATGTCTCACCGAGATACTGCGGCTCATCACCCTCCTCACTCAGCTCGTATTCAACACGGAATCCAGAAACGGTGTCAGAAGCAGAAACCCAGGAGACAACAAAGCTGCTGGCTGTGATTTCAGTGACTGACTCCGAAGTAGCAACCACGGGAGGAAGGAGAGTTGTTTCTCCTGAAACGGTGTTGCCTACAAGATAGCAGAGGTGTAAATAACTATTACTGCTTGCCTGTTAACTGGAATGCACATCAATACTAGGTCAGTGGAAAGAATCTAGGGAAACCATCACCTGATGAGTTTAGGTATTGCTGGGTACAACTTCTACCCCACTGTTTGACTTACTTGTCACTGCTGTGGTGCTGGTTGTGGTAAAATCAAAGCGAGTAACTTCTTTGTGGCCATACTGCTGGACACTGATGAGCTGCCCCTCGTATATCACACCAGGCTTCAGGCCTGAGATGGTGTATGAGTTCAGGTGGCCTGGGATGGTGGCTTCCTTCCAGGGCTTTCCAGTGTTTTTCTGCAAGAACAAGGATGCTCATATCTTTGAAGACTCCAGGGCCTGCAAGTAGGAGCTTCCAGGGACCTAACCTGCTGCACAGTTACTGGGTGCTGTGATATCTGAACAGCTAATACACAGAGCCAACTCAAAGGAGATGAAAAAGGATTGCCAGGAAGCAGGGCTAGTAGCATTTCAGTGATTAAGTTTTGCTTGAGTCAAAGCAAAGTCAAAGCAATCTCATATCTCATTTTGGACCTTAATAGGAGCATTACTTGTATCCACTAAAAATTATACCTTTATCAAAGATTCCCTAAGGCATAAGGAATGGCTAGAAAATATTTGAAGGCTGTTTGCAGCCACCCTCTAAGCTATTATCTGAAAAGATATAGAACAGTTCCTTCCTTCTACTCTGTGTTTGAGGTCTTTGGGATTCTCTAAAATAAGGTTCCATTCTCTGAGGTTTGTACCCCAGTGCTTTCAAGTCCACTCACTCAGGCCTTGATCCAAGATACACTTAAACCTGTAGAAAGACTTGAGTGCCTTTAATGGCTTTGGATCAGGGCCTTTATTGTTCTCTTTAATAAGAGGCAGCATTGAGGTACTAGGGTTCTTAATGATTAAGCGGTCTTTTGTGAAACTGCCCTCTGGGGAACATAAACACAACTTATCTGCATTGGTTGAAACAAATCATTCCTCAAATGTGAATAAGCCAACAAGCAGTGGTTAACCAGCTTTGGCTTAGGCTTTATCCTATGCTGCCCATCTGTAGCTTAATTCTATACATTTTTACCTTCCCACAACTATCTCAGTTGTTTCTGGACATGCACACAGTACTAAAACACTGTTTCTTAGGCTAAGGAAGCTTTTATATGGATCTGCATTAAAGTGAACAGGAATGAGGGTAGCCTGCTTACTGTGCTAGTGCTTTTGTTAAAGGGTTTCCAGAAATAGCAACCAGTAGCATTCACACATGAAAATAGCAAGCATTTTTACAGCACTAGTCATTTTTGATCCTCAAAGATGGTGCTGGTTGCCTTGACAGGACATGGACACTAAATTAGCAACTAAAGCTCACTGAAAGCACGTCCACTATTTCTTTTGGCCATTAGAAAAGGCCAAATAAAATATTTTTGGACACAAGAGGAATCTTGATGAGGAAATGTGCAAGTTCTCATTGAGAAGAACAGCTAGATAAGGACTCCACAGGTGAAAGGTCTGTGCTTTCAACCACTACGTGTTCCTGGAGCTCACAGTGCATCTACTGGTCTGCCCAAGCACGGCACTCACCGGCCTCCAGCGCAGGATGTACTTGGTGATGTGAGATGGTTCTGGTGCGTTCCACTGGATGGGGTGGGAGTTTGGCTGATTTGTGCTCTCTGTAATGATCACCTGAACAGGTCCAGTTGCTCCTGAAAAAAGATTAGCCTTTTTAATAAAATGAGGATATTTTCCTTCTGTCTTTTTTGCAGAGTCAAAAAAGTGTGGCTGTAAGTCATGTTTTCATTTTATCCTTAATGCTTTTAGTGCTCAATAGAGAACTGATGAATCAAGGAATATATTCGGTGGTAGAGCTGGCACATGCTGTCAGGGCCTACTTCCCACAAGCTATCAGTGAAACAGAAGACAGAATTGAGCAAAACAAAGTCACTGTTCAAAGACAGCAAGCTGCTCAGCACCTGACTACTTGGATTAATTAGTATCTTCTGCAGTTGGAGTTAATTTAAAAAGAAACCACTGCCAAGTAATCCTGAGGTATGGTGAGGGCAAATGCCTCATCTGTCTTGAGTAGTCCCTAAGGGATACTAGCCTTTTACTATTTCACTACCTTTCCTAATCAATTACTTAAGAATACAGGATTTTCATGAATCTGTGGAGCATTTTAAGTGATGAAGCATGTCTGGTACACACAAACCAAATCAGAAGGGTAGCAGAAGAGACACAAATCAGGCCCCGTAAACACACTAAAATATAAGCTCAGTACTCTAATGTTCAGAGCTCTCAGGAGTGCTCTAATGCTTATGGCTACTGATTTCTTCTGTTTGCAGAGTTAGCTCAATGAGCATGTTTTCCCCCTAAAGCCTTCTAGGTAAAGAAAGGAAAGGTTTTTGTGGTTTTCCTTTTAGTCCCTTCTGCTCACTGCTGGGGAGGTCTCACTGAACGCTTAGCAGCGCTGCACTCATGTTGGTCCTCAGAAAATATCCACAATAAGTGGCTTAGAACCCACAGGTAACTGTGTTTCTTTAGATATTAAATACCTCTTACACACACTTCTATTAATAATTTATTTGGACAACTGTGCAGCATATACCTGTTCCATATTTAACAGGACTTCCAACCAAACAAACCTGTGCCCACACACAGAATGTTTCAAAGCTCAACTAACCCAAATCTACATTCAGAAACACTAGATTTATTTACACATTTCCAGTCACTCTTATGTCTAAAGAAAGCCCAAAGGCCTGGGCTGCAGTCTGGAGGCGTGCATACTTCACATAGCTCAGGGAGATGTTTGTTTTAGCAGTCTGACAGGAGTCAATGAAGCTCAGCAAGCCCCAGTAAAGAAACTCCTGGGGAAATAAAAAAAGCCAAAGAAGGCCTGCTTCCTAATCTAAGAAAGGCAGCCCCTGATTTTTGCCTTTTAAGTGTCATATTTCTTGCCCTGGCTCACTGGTTGTGTGGTGACAGACAGAAAGACTGCTGGATATAGGCCTGGCTCAGTACTGCAGCAAAGACCTTCCAGATGACACGAAGCAAATCATGCAGAGAAGGGGTGCTCGTGCCATCTATGAGAGGCATTAACAGACTTTCAAGGTGCTGCAGAGCCCCTGAATTAACCCCCCTTTAGCCAGGACACCTAAACTAAAATCCTCTCTGCACAAGAGGATCAGTCTCAGGTTCCCTCTTCACACCCAGGGAGCACTTAAGGAATACATACACTGCAGGTACTAAGCAGATTGATATACTTGTTCAATCTGTCTTGATAGAAAAATTGCTGGTGACTGAAGCCACCATATCCAGTTCTGATTGAGTTCCTTCACATTTATGCTAGGAGTTTAGTTGGGAAGCAAATAACATGCATGCAGCTTTCTCCTCCCAGAAGAGGAGTCATAACACTATAGTCTTAGTATTTAATCTCAGGGTAAGATACTGGCAGCTGCAACCTCAAGCAAGATAGAGGGATACCCCTATCCCGTTCTGTTCAGGGAACAGAAAGACTACAAACCAACAGACAGAAGCACAGACTGGACCTGTACAGATTTCCTGGAACTGACTGGGCAAATGAAAGTTCAAATATTTAATTTCAGGACAGCAATCAGGGAAAAATCATCAAGGCTTCATTCTGTGGTGGATTTCACTTCTGTAGCAGGTGGAAAAGGAAAAGCCATACATGTAACAGTTTTATGCAACAGAAGCTGCAGATGTGATACTGCTACATACCAAGAAACAATCTAAATTCATTTAACTCTGTTACATGAAGTCAGTCATTCTCCAAATGAGTTCTGGCCTCAGGAGCAGCTGTGAAGAGCCTGGCTCTCTTTAAACATGACATCTGTGTGTCTACCAAGAAGGATAAAAAAGTGGTTCTGCTCTAAAAGGAAGCCAATTGAGCTGCTAAGGAAGAGATCCCCCCCCCAGGAGACCTGGAAAGCTACAGAAATCCAGTGTTTGCAGAAATTACTTATTAGAAATTGAAAGTGATATGGAATGATGTACTGAAACTTGATGAGGTAACCATGGGGTGCACCTGGAGGCTTTGTTTGTGTTTCTTACCAGGATATGTCTGCAGTGGCTGGCAGTGCCATTCACCAATACCGCGGCCATAGCAGTAACACTGGTATCTGACACCATGCACATACTTCTCCCATGAATCTCCAATCTGGTAAAATGTACGGGTTTCTGAATCTTGGCATTGATCTAAAGGCACAAGAAAGACAATTAAAGCACCACACACTGGCAAAACTATTACAGAAAATACAATCCTAAAGTTAGAACACACTCTTTCACAAAAAAGGTAAGATCAGTATTTATTTGCAAACATTACTGCATCTTTGCAACTACCACTGCTGCACTACATTACTATCTGTTAACTACAGGACAGAACCACCTGGCAAGCTCCCCAGTAAGTTAACAGGGCAAGAGGTCCTTCAAGAAATGATTTATTTTTCACTCTGTGGAAACTAATTATGCTCCAGTCAACTGAGTAAGTCCATCTCTCATCCAAAACTGAGCCACGCTGCTCTCAAAGGTATCACTGATAAAGTTCCTACTGGCTTCAGCAAAATCCAGTCAGACTGTGAGACTGAAGTGACCGTTTAATTTCCAGCATAGTCATTCTAGATTTAGCATTGTATGAACCAAAGAAGGATGGATCAAATCCCCAGATCAGCTTATCTTGTGTAAATACAGCACAGCATCAGCATTTCAATGCACTTCCTACTCTGACCTATGTCTCTACTTCTGACTCAATGGAAGTTTTCTGAGAACCAACACTATGCTTGCTTGGATTAAAAAAAGCCTAGATTAGAGAGATGTCAATATTGCTGAGCTCATCCACCATCTCCCTTTAAGTAATGATGTTCAGAAGCATTACAATCCAAGTTTCTCCAGTGAACCTATATACATATCTCTGCAAGTAAAGTAGTTTAACCACTAGTTCTTCCTAATAGATTTTTTTGGCAACAGTTCAAAGTTCTCCTGGATTTAGTCACTGCAAATCAAACAAACAATCTGATTTTATGTTCCAAAGTTGGTTCACTGGGGAAGGAAGTGCAAGCAGAGAAGATGAAATCTCTTAATTCCTGCACAGAACCATGATGGTTTTAGCTAACCTCTGGAGTGCTATTTATATGTGTTTTCATCTTGAGCTTTCTCTTAACCAGAAGAAATAACAGCCAAATAAATCATTTTAGTCCAAGATAAGTTCATGGATACTGAAGCTCTTCTCAGTTCAGTGAGGAGACCAAAGTTTTAGGAAAGAAGCAAAAACAGGTTCACATGTCATTACCTGGCTTCATGTTCATTTACCAGCAACTAGTTGAGAGACTCTCATCTACCAAGCTGACAGTTCAGATACCAGAGTTGGCCTAACATGCCCTACTATCCCAGTCACTAAAGCATGTTACCTTTTAAGAGGTATATTGCCACTATTCTTTGCTATTGCAGCATCATCAACTGCTGTTGCATGCCTGATAACCTAGGCTCACCTCTTTAGAGCTACGATTCCTCTACTGGTTACCCCTCCAGCAAATACAGCCTTACTACCATGGCAGTTGTGCAAGTCAGGGCATAAACTAGGCAAACAGCGGGTCCAGATTCACTCACACCATTTTCACCACAGCACAACCAGTTCCTGCACAACTACGCTCCATGTTTGGCAAGCAGAAACAGTTGGCAACTTACCAACAGGATCACATTTCCATCTGCCCCGACCCTGGCCAAAGCACGTGCAGTTCAGCATGTGCCCCTCGTCGTGACGCTTGTGGAATGTCTGGTTCACATCATAGGTGATCCCGTCCACAATGCACTGGTCTGTTTGAGAAAGAGCAGAGACACTTTGTCAGCAAGAGCTCAAGGGGGAAAGACAAGTTTTTTTGCTTAGCGCATAGTTCTCTTCTCTTGATCAGCTTACAGGGGCTGACCATGACAAGCTCCATCCCTGCAAGAATCCTTCCAGTATTCACAATCACCATGGCCCAGTACTGCACATGCACACCACTGCTGTGGAGTTCCTTCACCAGTAGCGTGCAAAGGAGCACCACTTGCAGCAAAACAGTCTGTAGGATGCTGTCCAACATGCTAAGCATTATTCAAACTACAGAATTGCTTGGTTGAGCCCTGTGACAGTTTCTCCACATGAAAAACATGAAACAGCACACTAACTCATTTGCTACCTCCTCTGACAAAGGTCTAGACCAAGACCTTGGTGAGTATGCCCCAAGTCAGAGGTATGCAAAGAGCAAAGGGCTACTCCAAAACCATACGGATATCACAGGGATGTTTGCACCTCACTGATTTTATGCTGCAAGCTCTATCACACTTTGCTGTAATCTAAAAGGCGGACAGATGTATTTATGTCCAAAATGTCACTGGTGCCGGCTGATCTGCTCTGCCTTCAAAAAGCAGTGGCCAGATCTCATGCTCAAACACAATGGTATCAGCCTACAGGGGTCAATGAGGCTATGGCAACCTGGGATGTGGCCCAGAACTCTTAAAGGCAATCTAATCAGAGCTAGAAGACAGACAAAACAAACAGGAAAACCACTCTAGAAGCATGTTGTTTTGGTAACCAGGACCCAAGAGACCTAAGTTCAGTTTCAGACTCAGTCACAGGCCTTCCGTCCTTGGGGAAGTGACTCAGTAAACCCCAGACCTTCATTCCCAATCATTTTCCCACACCGCAGCTCCAATGGAGGCTGAGGGCCTTCTCTGGTTGCTAATGTTTTAACAGCCCTGATTAGATAACCTCTGGCTTTTGAGAAAGGGCAGACCTCCTTCCCCTGCCCCTCCATCAAGGGAGACCACTAACTCAGGGATGACACTGCAGACAAGTAGCCGCCTAGGCTGAGAAAGGAGTTTCACAGACCAACTTCTAGCTGTGCATTTCTCACTGTTCTGAAGGGAGTGCACAAAAAAACCTCCTCAAGTCTTTGAGTTTTCCCCTATAAGTTATATCCCGTTTCAACAGTGGTGCTCGAGTCCTTTCTTGGCACGTTGACAGCAACCCTCACTCCCAGCCTTTTCCAGACACAAAGCCAATGCTGTGAGCTAGCTGTAGGATGATCAAATGTCTGTGCTTTTAATTTTTTTCCCCCCTCTCCTGGTGTTGCTTAAGCGCTTCTCCACTTGGGCCACTTACAGAAGTTTGTAAATAAAAATAATCTATATGAAAAGTTGGCAGGGCAGCACCGAGATTAGCCAGCAAGAGATTCATCCAACACAGACAAATTGAAAACTGCACTGCAGAACAATAAAACAGACAGCTCAGCACTCAGACTTCAGACTAGTCTGGGGCCTCGTGTGTTCATGAGAGGGGGAAATACCTCTGCTCTCCATAAAGCCACCAATGGCACCAGAGCCTAAATGTAGACAGGAGGAGGCAGGGGCGAGCCAAGTCACAGTTCCTCTGCTTCCTAGTCTACTAAAGTTGAATCTGTACCTCCCCAGCATGCAATCAAGGAAAGAACTTCACATAGTCCTTCTGATTCCCCCCTCTATTCTAAAGACAATTGCATATTTATGATTTGAGTCAGGGTTCCAATTCCCAGTGCTGGGAATTGAGAGGAAATCATTTTCTCCCACTCCAACAGTTAGACTGCGATGTCAACACAAAGAACAGTACCTCTGAGCTGGGAGTAGGCAATGCAGGTCCATTCTCCACGGCCATTTCCTACACAAGTACATCTCATCATATGGCCCATGTCATGTTGCTTATCCCACTGGTCCCCAACACGATACATGACACCATCATTTGTAGTGCAGATTTCTTCATGGGCTGGTTAGGAAGAGAGCAAGATGTTGTATGTGGCTAGAGTTAACAAGGTCATAAAGGTTCAGGCCATTTGCAAGTGCTTCTTCATACTGTGCAGTAGTTTCTGCATCTTAATGAGGCAGCTGTAGAAACCCACTCCATTTCAAATACCATTTTGGTTGGGTGATGTTTTCTAAATGCATAACCCTCCCAGGGGTTCACTCCTTTTAACTCTCTTCAGAAAGTTACAAGAGGCAACTTCTGTACAATGTCCAAGAGAGCTGGGTGAATGCATCAGTTGTTACATATATGTCTTTACACAAGCATAGCTATCTAAAGACCCGAGTTTCACAAGCCATTGAAGGGCACAGATGCTGAATTGCTTTGAGTTGCAAAGCCCTGTCATTCAAAAACCAAGAGTCCTATTCCTGTTAAGTAACCCTCCATCCTCATGCCCATTCCCAACATCACCCAGACAAGCATGGAGTTTGGGAACAGATCACATACTGATCTTGACTTAACTCTCTTTTCCAGGGTAACCCACATCTTAAGTACCCTCTTGTCCCTGTCCACATACTAGGCAAAAGGAAGTGATGAGAGATAAGGGAGAAAGTTTTAGCAGATACCAAAATCACAATCTCACTTCCTATAAAGTGTGACACTACAACATGCTCTAATGAATCCGCATCAGTTTACACTAGCTGCCAACCATGCCTGCCACTGGCTGGTAGCAGAAGAGTAACAAAAGCTTCCTTCTCCTTGTGCTGCCCAAGGCTGTCAAAATTTATTAGTGAGCAGAAAGAACAACACAAAACTCAAATTCTTTAAAGGGTTTTGGTCTGGGAAGGAGCTTGTTGGAAGCCATCAATAACTCAGTCAATGACAGCCAGCTCTTTACTTGGCAGCTCAAATGATTCCTTATAAGTACTCCATAATCTATTTATGGTCTTACCAGCCATGGGGCAGAAACCAAATTTCTGGTCAGCATCATAGTTCTCAGTGGTTCCACACCACTTCATGTTGTCTCTCCGTCCCTCAGAAGTACAATCCGTGTAGTTGCGGTTGTTATACAGGAAAGGGAAGTGGCACAAAGCACCATTGGAATTGCCACCCCGTGTCTGGACCAAAACTGCAAAAGAGGAAAAAAGAAAAAGATGCAAGTGAAGCTTGTGTGTCCTCCTAGCAGGCACGAAGCACTTAAACCACTATTTCTTCCCTTCTCTGTATACTCCTTGTCATATTATTCATCAATCTCTTTTTGGCTTAAATTAATTCAGATCTAGAAATACAAGCCATAAACAAGGTAAATACAGTTCAAACACTGCTATGGAAAGAGTTGCTGGACCAAGACACAGGAATTCCTGGGCAAGAGGGAAGACCAAAGCCTTCTACATCTAGGAAGGGCCTTTGCAGACTTTGTACCTGTGCCCAAGTAATACAATAATCTCAGTTCTCCTAGTACTTGTATTTTCACTGAGATGGTCACCCAGTTGTGCCCTTTGGCTTAAAGGCAAGCCTGAGTTCTTAAAAAAAAAGGTTACAACTTGGTTTTGAACAACAGAACAAGTCAAAAATCTCCCTGCAGGTTGCAATCTTTGTTTTGCAAGCAGCAGCAGAAAGAGGAATCTAATCTACGTGAACTATTCACCTCTTGAGCAACTCGTTTACAAGTAATGCAGAATAAGGAAGCATTTGCTTAGGTTTCTCTGTATTGGTATTTCTTATTCCCACAGTATATCACAGGAATTCCTGCTCAAAAAAGAATGTGTGGGGGCAAGGAGGGGAGAGGGGTTTTCTTTCTTTAAAAGGGCATTACATATGCTGGAAAGAACTTGGCTTGTATCAGAAAAAAACACAACTAGCAGTATTTATGCAATATAAGCAGCAGTATTTTTCTCTGCACATTCTCTCCAGGCTCAGATCCCAGGGTGGACTGCTTGGATACTGCTCCATGGATGTCTGACGGGTTTCCCAGGAAGCCTAAGCACACAGGTAGGTTTGTGCTGTAAAGAGCACATGACCATGTGCAGTGAAGGGAATGCTGCTGCATTAGTCATGCACCATCTCTTGAGCACGGTGACCGCAGATCCCATCAGAGTTACTGCTATATATGGCAGCCTGGCTAGAAAGTTGAGACTGAGGGAGTGACAGAGGACTGTGCAAATTGTGCTTCATGGAGAGCCTCTCCTTTGCAGCCTAATATGGGCATTGGCTCTTGCAACTCAGCCAAGCAAAGATGAAGTAGCTTTGAGGCTTAAGCTCTACCCTGACTAGGAACTCCTGTTCTAAGCTCAGTCCAGGGAAGACAGAAGACCAGGACTCAAAGGCTGTACCTGTTTCACCCTGGCTACCCTCCAAAGGTGCCAAGAGCACAGGAACATCCTGCCTCCACATAATCCTCAGCCCACATAGCTGCCTGGATGTTGGAGCATGCCTGGAGTCCCTCCAGATTACAGGACTGTTGAAACAGTCTATTGCTACAGGCTCTGCTCCTTCTACTACCTGCTCATGAGAGCCATGCATGTGTGAAGATCCTCAGAGAGGAACCTACCATTCTGCTCTGTACAGAAGGAGTATCTCCTGTCCTGCTCGAAGTTGGAGGTGGTACTGCACCAGAGATGCCCATCTGTACGTCCTTCAGTGGTACAGGAGTAGAAAGTCCTCCCATCATAGGTGAAAGGCAAAACACAGGCTTCTCCATCAGAATTGCCACCATATGTCTGAGTTGCAGCTTTAACACACAAAAAAAATCACAACATTAGATTCTAGATCTAAGCAATCCCTGATCTTAGGGCTCAAACAGCAGTAGCCTCCCTGGGCCAAATCTCCAGCTGCTGCGAACCCATACTGACTTTCAAGGACCTGAGCCAACACACACCAGCTGAAGACTTAGTCCCAGAACTGTGTCATTTTTTATACTCTTTTCCAAACATATATTATTGCAGCTTGCTTTGAATAAAATTATTAATGCTGCTCCCCAAGGGCTGCGTTTCCTCTCTGTTATATATAGTTCACTGGGAAATGTCTGTACCCCTCCAAAGCCAGGCTTCAAATAATTAAAGCAGCTATCACTTCTCCCCTTGAACTTTTCTCTATTTTTGGTCTCTCAGACCCCAAACACAAACATACCTATTTCCCGGCAGCTGACTCCATTGCCCAGGCAGGTGCAGAGCATTTGCTGGCTTCCCTGTGTCTTGAGCCACTGCATCCCCACAGTGTAGACCACTCCATTATCCGTGATGCACTGGCCATATGGCTGAGGCTGGGGCTGTTGAGGCTGTGGCTGGTACAAGGCAGTCTGCAAATTTGTGAAGCTAGGAGAGCCAGAACCTGTAGCAGGACATAGGAGAAATGAGACTGGATATCCTGCATTACATGCAAAGCTAAAGAGAATGCTTCTGTTAAATGCTGAAATAAAGTCCTAGGTAATTTTCACCAATTTAATCACAACACTCTTAGCTTTGCTAGACACATTCTAAATATTTCCTTTCATATCATTAATTAATAATCATTAAACAAAACCCCTCAGTTTTTATGGTTTGGAAAAAGCATTTTAGCTCATGGAAATCTAGAATAAACTAAGACCTGTAAGAAGCACTGAGAAGGGAGGGGGATGAAGCAAAGAAACAAAGCATTCATTTTGAGTTCTCCATATCGTTGAAGCAGAAACAAATGTATTCCTTTACTCTGGAATTTTTCAATGTTGAATCAAAGTTTTTGGTCAGTTGTCATTCTGACTAATAAAGACAAAACAGTTTCTTGTCCATACTGTGGACATTGCTAATGTTTCCCACAGCAACCCCCTCAAGTCAGCTCTGCTGTAGAAGTAAAGCCAGCAAAGCAGTGGCACCTGTAAGCTCTGGGCATTTTCAAGCGTAGACCTTCTGAGATTTTGGAGCTGAACTGCTGAGCACCTACAGCTGAGTGTTTTACCAAGAAAAACTCTGCACATAGCAGACAGAAAACTAGATCCTTAAAATGGTTAGTAGCCATAGGCGTTGACAGAACTTGAACAGAAGGCTTATATTGCCTCCTAAATATTTCATACCAAAGTTGCAAGATATCTGATGTTCATGTTTTAATGAAACGGGATTGTATACATCTCGTGACACTGCTGTTCTTTGAAGCTCAACCAGAGGCGATTTGTCAAATAAGTTATACAGCCTCAGAGACAAATTTAAAAGAAGTCTGAATTACTAAGGCAAACACACCAAATCCATATATTAACTCAAAGTGTCATGTTTCCAAAAGAGCTAGAAGATATTTTGTATAGATGCATTATCCTAGATGTTATTTATGGCATTGTGATCAATCATGTAGTTGTATTTGTACAACAATGGGCAAATTCCATTTGGGCAAGGAAACCAAGCATAATTTAATAACAACTACATAGGCACAAAAGGACCATCTCCCAAACTCTGACCGTATTTCTTGCTAATCTTTCTCTGACAGAATTCCTAAATGCCTAAATTAAGATGGTGCAATTCAAAACCAAGTCCAAGTCATTCCAATATGTGCCATAACTCAGTCTTCCCCTGCCCTAAATGCTATGACACGCCACTTACCAGTGCTAGTAGTGTGCAAGGATGTGTGTCTCTCGCACTTCCATTCACCTCTGCCATTACCAGTACAGATGCACTGAAGCAAATTTCCACGATTATCCTTCTTGCTCCAGGTGTCTCCAATTCTGTAGGAAGTCTTGGTGTCATGGTCATTGCATCTGTCTGTATAAGGAACATGGTCATGGCTATTAGCAAGTTCTACACTGAATGGCTTGAGCATGCAATTAAAATTGCTAAGCAACCAACACTATGAAATGAGCAGATAATAATGACAGGTATTATTAAGACTGCTCTCAACAAGCCTTTAATGTTCGGTAGCTTACTGTTAGGAAACCTATATGCATCAATGGCTGCATTAAACCTCATAAGCTAAGAAAGTCTGAAAATCCTGATGCTAAAGACCTCTAAGGGAAAATTCACATCGAATTCCAGAACAGAAATTTCACTTCCTAGTCATGGTTTCAAATTGCAACATAACACTCCCAATTTCAAGAAGGTAAGCTACATTCAAAAAATTCACACGTGCAAAAACATATATCCCAATTAAAAGCATTCTAGCCGTTTTTAAAACCATTTTAAACTCAGTCTAGCATATACCTTCAAGACCTGGTTTCAATGCATTTTTTTCCTCCTCAATTTAAGAGGAAGTCCTTTAGTTGTTCTTTTTTCCCTCCCCCTCATACTACTCACAGGGTGCAGCTCAACTTCAGAGCACTATTGCAGCTAGAAGCTAAAACCTATTGGAGGGCTAAATATTAAAATTCATTTCTTCCAAAAACGATGTCTGTGAAGAAGCCAGTAAAACTAATAGAAGCTGCTCAGTCAGACCAGGAATGTTAAGACTTTCTGAATCTCCCTGTTGTGTTTAAAAATCTATAGCCCTGATGAATGGAGTAAATGGGTTCAAAGGACACTATAACAAACTACTCTTGCCTGAATGCCAGAGCCCCATGGACTAACTAGTTCTCCTTCCAAAACAAGATTTTACCTTCTCATCCAAGCGCAACTTGATACAGTGGCTCAAATATAATCACGGATCAATGAACATGGATTTATAAAGAATTGTGCAAGGACAGACATCACTACAGATTGCCACTGAAACAGCACACAGGAGAAAATAAGTGTGCAAACCATGTGAATGATGCAGCGATTAAAATGACCAAAACCTGCGTACTTGCCAGAATAGCAGTAAACCGGTCAAATGCCGATAATGTAATCTGATAAAAAACATGTCTTGTGAACACTCCACATTTCAAATTAGGTGACAAAAAGCTGACACTCTACCCACTCCCCCCCCCCTTTTCAAAAAAAATTAGTGATCACTTGGGAAAACGTTGACCATAAAAGATTCACAATAGCAACAACACACTGAAGCATAATACCATTCTGTGCGCTACAGCCATCATTTTAGCCCAAGTGATTTAAATTTACGTATTTGATTACATTTGAAAAACAAAATGAAGAAGCTATTATACTACAATTTTCCCTGCGGTGCAGCAATGCAGACCAGAATTTTGGGAGGAAAAGACACTGCCAAATCATGTTTTAGTAATAACATCTAAGATTCACAAACACACTGGGTTTTATTCATTCCTATCTGTCAGTTAATGATTTTTCCCCATGTGCTTCTAACAGTTAATATTGTCGAGGCCGATTTGATTTTTATAGTTTATTTCTTGACCAAGTCTCCCCAGATCTTCAATTCTAATCCCAATCCTCCTCAGCGTTTTAGTTCTATACAGTTCTGTTGTTTATATCAGCAAAAAGCTATTATCCATTTGTCCCAAGGCAACAGAGTATGAGGCAATTTAAGCTCTGCAGAAGAGTTTCCCAAAACTTGCATAAGGAAGGTGCAAAGTACAAAGTTACATTTTGAGGCAGCTGGTGTAAACTGTAATAGCCCCACAGCAGAGCCTGGTCCTACCAAAAGCCAAATCGGGGTTAGATAAACAAAGGGGGTTGCAGGTTTTAACCCAGTCTACTCTGCAAACAGTGATACCATGATATGGAAACCCAGGGAAGGCATTTGAGTCAGTACACTGAGGAATTAAAATGGTGGGAAAACTCAACAGGGTAGAAGAGGCAGTAGATAAACTAAACTCTATTTGAGCTATCACACATATCTGAATTGTAGGAAAAGGGGAGGGGAAAATGCTTAAGATGTGGTTTTTAATTTGTCACATACCACTTGCTGGGCCAAGTGTTCATTTCTCTTTAGAAGAGCCATATTCTCCCTCAAGAATAGTCCTCCAAAGGGCCGAATTAGGCCCAAATCTGTGCAGCTCTCCAGGCAAAGCAACTCTATCAGCTTCCTGATGGAAGCCTGGCCACGATGCCTTTTCTAAGCAGCTTTTATTTCCCTCCAAAGCCGGCTAAACCCAGGAAGCGCCACTTACTTCTGGAGGTGCAGGTGATGCGGCCGCTGCCCTCGCCCAGGCACGTGCAGTCCACCATCATCCAGCCCTGGTAGGGTTTCTCCCACGTCTCGCCCACCACATAGGACGTCCCGGCCGCGTTGTCGTAGCAGCGCTCAGCTGTGGGAGGCAAAGACAGGTCAGCCACGGAGGAGGCCAAAACAGCCATGGATGAAAGGGAAGGAGGAGGGAGGTAGGCAGCCCTTACCGACGGGCTTGCAGGTCCACTCGCCCTTGCCATTGCCCAGGCAGACGCACTCCAACATGTAGCCGCCGGTCTCGTGGGGCCGCCGCCAGGTATCGCCGATCTTGTAGGACTGGCCACCCTCATGGCAGCGGTCTGTAGTGGGGCACAGGGAAGAGGGGTGCTCAGCCCCACAGCTATGGGCCCCCCCCCCACCAGGTGTGGGGGCCAAAATGGCTGCCATCCTCCTCCACAAAATGGTGCCCACCTGCCTCCCTCCACCCCAGTGAAGGTAAACATCACCTGCGGACATACTCCTCTTGCCAAAGCCTGCCATTTGGGTACCCAAAGGCCTGAGACCTTAAAGGGGGAGTTTTTGCCCTCAGGAGGGTCACTGCACCCTCAGGATCTGAGGGCAGCCTGGTGGCAGGTGGGAGCGTGCTGCCATTTTCTCTCTCCTCCACCACCACCTTTGCAGGCCCCACCAGGAATGGCGAGCACTGCTCCTCCCTCACAGGTGCAGAGACTCCCATCTTGCCAGGGCTGGATCCCAGAACCCAGCAGCCTGCAGTCTCTTGATCACCCCAGAGGCTGGCCCATGTTCTCTCTGGCCTGCCCTGCTGGATGGCAGGGCGCAAACATGGCATCTCCTTCTGAGGAGAAACATGCAGTAGGCTGTTTATGGGGAGCTGCAAAGCTTTCCTTCAGCTCCTTTAGGTTGTTGGAGAAGCTAAGAGAGTTAGGAAGACTTATGCAAAGCCAGATATTGTCCTTGCAACTCTCCAGTGAGCTTTAACCCCAGCTGCTAATTGGCAAATGAGACTGCTCTTAGGTATGCAATTTTCTGACTTTCTCTTCTTACAGTGCTTATTTTCACTGCCCAGTAAACTGCCATTACATTTGGAGTGGCTTTAGCTCTCCTCATTAGAGTCAGTGCATTTCTTTCTGTAGCATGATGATGGCTGACGGTTTCTGAGCTGCATTTGGACTCAGTGCCATGAGGCTCAGACGCAAAACTGGATGCTTGAAAGATCAGGTCTCTTCTCCAGAGGTTCCTGAGGAACTCTGAGCCCTCAGTCTCGAAGTCCCAGAAGTGTGTGCCTCATCCCACTGTTCACAGGAAGCCTAACTGCACTGAAGAGAGATAGTGAGCAGCCAAGCAACTCAGTGAGGAAAGGACTCTCCAGATACAATAGGGAAAGCTGAGGAGAAAGGGATGAGGAAATAGGAGGAAGAAGAGGAAAGCATGAGGTAGGCCAGTGAATAGAACCTTGCAGAAGCACTCCAAGATGTGTGAAGAAATTTCATGTCCCACTTCCCTCAGTGGCCAGGCTCTCTCAGATAGTAGATATTGAAAACTAAAGTCCTACTAAAGCTGATGGTGCTGTTCTGACCCAGCAGCTGCACATTAGTCCCCAATCCCATCTTCCAGTCAGAAAAACACTTTTAAAAGTCTCTATGAAGATGTAACATGCTCTTATAAATAGTAAGCGTACTAATCTGCATGGCAGGACACTAATAAAAGTCAGTTTGGACCCATGTTTATATATGCAACACTTCCTCTTAAATAAAAGAGGATTTTTTCTTGTGCAAATGTTTCTTCCCTCTATAGGCACAGGAGCAAGGACTTTCAATTACATTTTTAGAGGGCTTTGATCCAAAGCCCATTACTCCAGCTAACAGAGCCAACAGCATTGGAAGTATTGTGTAAGCTGCTGTGGAAAATATGACACTAAGGAACGATAGTACTAGCAATAGGCTCTCAGTTACATACTGGCAATGGTGCAGCTGATTCTCCCACGTCCAGCTCCAATGCAAGTACAGTCCCAGATCATGGAATCCTTGGGGCGCTCGTACGTCTCCCCTACTCGGTAGGTGGATCCAGTGTATTTGTCAAAGCAAGTTTCTTCAGCTGTTAGGACAAAAAAGAAAGTGAACTTCATGTAACCACACAGGTAAAACAAGAACCAAAAGAAACCATTTCTCTGTCCTCAAACTAATGTTGGTCTTTTCTTCTCCCCAGGACAAAAATGCAGACTGGTCACCTTTGTTCCTGTAGGACAGCATAAATTGAGTGAATTTCACCTATCCAATATACTCTTCATACTATTTCACCTATGCTGTGCTGAATACCTGCAGCCTCCCACCCCCGGGGAGCCAGAAGCTTAGCAAGGCACGTGGGCAGGCATGCCCTGGAAGGACAAATCCCATCTGTTTGAAGTGCAACAGTGTGGAGACAGAAGGAAGCAAGCATCCCTCCAAAGCTGTGTTTTGTCATGCTAATCCTCCCAATTCTGACCTGGCAAAAGCTTGTATACATTAATCCTAAATGCTGCAGCAGTCCTGCTGAAGCCTACAGGAATCCTGTGAATCGTTCACACTATCACAGGAGTAAGTGATTACTACGTGGCACCTCAGGCTGCCACCAGAACAGAGATGAGCCATGAAACAACCTTATTGACTAAAGCAAACTATGCTATACAGGAAACTTGCTATTAGATTTCAAAGTATAAGAGTTGGATTCACTGGGGAGGGAAAGAGAAAAGATTAAGCTCTTATGGCAGAGTAAGAGGACTGAGTAGTACTTTGAAATGCTCTAGCCCTGAGACAGGCAGCATACAAGCCTTCCAAGACAGCTCAGTAGGATGCTCCATCTGTCTTGCATGAGCATTATCAGCCAGGAATCAGTTTCTCTCTCATTTCTGCAGAGCAACATAAAGGATTTGTGGCAAACCAGTGGCTACAGACCAAGAAAGACAGACAGACTGCATCTGATTATCTAAACTACACGCTATCCCAGAGAGACATCTTCCAGCAGATGTTGGGCTTGGAATTTTTACTGTTACCTAAACTTTTTCTGCAGAAGACTAAACAATCTCATTTTACACTCACTTATAGAAAGCTGACAGTGAGGCAGGGGCGCTGCAGAAAGCTGTAAGTTGAAATATTTTTAAACACGCTGACGACACCGCGCAGCTATGGAAAGCCAGGGTGAGACAATCAAACGGGGCAGAGCCAGAGCTGCAAAGTGCCTCCAGATTTGAACTTCCCTGGGCGAGCCCGCCAGGCAGCTCGGCGCTGCAGCAGAGAGGCTGGCTCCAAAGCTAAGCTTAGATCCCATCCTCCAGGGAGATGAGCAAGGCATGGCCCCCAGTCCTGGTGGCGGGCCCATTGCTAACGAGAAGCGTTTCCCAAAACCTCAAGCCTGATCTTCAGCGGGACAGAGGCAGATCCAACACCCTACGCACCGCGAGGCACCCGGTGCACCCACCACGGCGCCGTGCAAGGCTCGGCTTAGGGGCAGCGCCAACTTACGCTCGGGCTTGCTCTCGCAGTTGAAGCCCCTGCTCCCGCCGTAGCAGGTACAGACGAGCGTGTTGCCCAGGTAGATGCGCTCCCACTGCTGGTTGATCTGGTAGTAGTGGCCGTTGTCGTAGCAGGTCTCTGGGGAGAGAGGAGCGGGTTAGGCGGGCGGGCGGGCTCGGGGCGCCGCCGCGGCCGCGCGCTACTCTACTCACGCTTGCCCTGCGCG